AGGAAAATGCAGAATAAATGCTTGTCCACTTCAGTGGCTGAGCTGAAAAGCATGGCCCCAGCGGGAGCTTGCACAGGCTTCTGGGAGGAGAGTGGATGCTGCAGCCATTGGGCAGAGCACTGGGCAGATGCTAGTGGAGAGAAGCCTGCTCCTCCCCGCCAGCAGTTCCAGCACTCTCAAAAGAGGTGAAAGTGCACACACACGCACACACACACGATGGGAAAAACGCTTATACAGCACTGCTGTGTGTGATCATGCGTGTGCGATGCATACGTGTGCATGTTGGGACAAGGAAAACTTTGGGTTTTGGGTGTTTTTTCTTAGTGCCATCTATCCATTGTTTTTTTTTAAAATATATTTTTGATATATTTCTTTTCCTTCTTTTTTTTTTTTTTTTTGAGACAGGGTTTCTCTGTGTAGCCTTTCCTGTCCTGGACTCGCCTTATAGACCAGGCTGTTCTTGAACTCACAGAGATCCTCCTGCCTCTGCCTCCCTGAGTGCTTCGATTACAGGCATGCGCCACCATACCCGGCTTAAAATATATTTTTAACATTTTTTCTTTTTATGTGTGTGAGCGTTTCACCTGCATGTATGTACATGTACCACCTATGTGCAGAGCCCATGGGGGCCAGGAGAGGGCAATGGCTATCCTGGGACAGGAATTACAGATTATTATGCGCTGCCATGTGGATGCTGGGAACTGAACCCAGGTACTCTGCACAACCAGTCAGTGCTCTTAACCACTGACCCATCTCTCCAGCCCTAGACTTATTCTGTTTTTAAGTATGTGTCGGATGGTGGCATGTGCAAGTGTGAGAGCAGATTTCCATAGAGTTCAGAAGAAAGTGTTAGCTCCCCTGGAGCTAGAGTCATGGGCAGTTGAGGTCACCCGATGTGGGTGCTGAGAACAAAACTTTGCAAGAGCAGAGTGTGCTGTCAATATCTCTGAGCCCATCTCTCCAGCTCCCCCTCTCGTATTCTGAGATAGGGTCTCTCACTGGGCTGGATGGAGTTCACAAAGTAGGCTCAGCTGACTGGCTAGGAAGCCCCAGGGATTCACGTCTCCCTGCCTCCCCTAGTGTTGGCATTACAAGAGTGTGCCACCATCATTGGTTATACTTTTAAGAAGCCCAGTGCCCGTAGAAGATGAGATTGGATCACAGACTACCACTCACCTCTGCAGTGCAAAGGACCAGACACCAGTCCTCACCGGCTTGGGCATGAGATGCAGAAGACAAGAAGCCTGATGCCAAACTGTCTGCTTCTGACTTCTCTATGGGGAAGGCAGTCTATTGATGATCTGCCAGGAGGGAGGCTGAGGGTGGGGAAGTAGAGAGGTGATCAGGGGGTCTCTGGTAAGGTGGAATGGCGTGGGACTGGAGTTGGACAGTCTCTTTGTCAGAGTGATCAGCCAAGGTGCATTTCCAGTTTTATAAGGTGTTCTCACCAAAGACACTGTGAAAAGCCACCATCTGGCATTGCTCACGAGCCAGTGGATGCAGTGTAGTGCTATGGGAGTTGGCTGGCCGTGACCAGTGCTGAGAGCTTATGTAGTGAGGAGACACTTTCGCCAGAGCCCACAGGCTCATGGGAGATTTGACACTGTCATTCAAGCCTCATCTGACTAGGAACTGCTGGGACCTCCACACAAACCCCACTCTCTTGTCGGGCTACGAAGGGGCTGTCCCTGCCTACCTATGGTTAGCCTTTGCTACCTGCTCCTCTGAGCATCCACCTGTGAAAGGCTTCAGAGCCAAGTACCAGAGAGTCTCCTTAGTAACCTGAGGCCTTGGAGAGGTTCTGCCTTCCTGTGGGACATGAATGCATGTTCCACTATGATCAGAGTAGCAATCTAGAGATTACAGTAGAACCATGATCCTTCCAGCCATCCCACCTTTGAGTGAGAGTTAGGAGGCAGGCCCCTGGTAGAGGTAAGAGCTGCTCATACCTCAAGAACTGGTTCTGGTCAGTCTGAGGTAGCTTCTGTGCACAAGTCTTTATTGGCAAGGAACCCAGCTGGGTGATGCCCAGAGTCCTGGAATTGTCCTGGATAGCCTCACAGGCTAGGGCAAGAGAAAGTGAGACCAATGCTGGCTGGTTTCCAGTCTGTACCCCATTCAAGCTCAACTTTCACCCATTTGACCCCTTTCACTGGCTTGTGGAGTATGTAACCATCAGAGCTCTGACCATCACTTCCTTCCCCCAGCCCGTTGGAGCGCAGCTGGTATCTGTCTCTAGATAGGGAGGTGTGTCATCTGCCGTGAGCAGTCTGCATCTGAAGCCTGGAAGCATCTGCTTCCCTCAGTTCCACGTGGTTGGAATTCTAGACAGCAGCTCTGCTGCCAGCCTCACTCTATTGTATGACAGAAGTTTGGCTGACTACTCTCTGCCAGAAAGGACCCTAATGCCCTCACCTGGCCCAAGAGTGTGGAGGGTAGAGTGGCAGGGCCATGCCCTTTGGCACAAAACCCAAAGAGGCCAGGGAAATGATTTGACTTATCTCTGGTAACAGTTTTCAAGAGACAGCCAGACACACCTGCCTAGGGTTGGACCCTCTGATGGGTCAGCTGGAAAGAACTCAGGACGTTCTGAGGTGAGCCTGAACTCTTACATCCTGCAAGGCAGGAGGCTGTATGCACCCCAGTGTCTGTCTCCATTTATGATGCCCCAGTACAGGCAGGGAGAAGAGCCAGGGGGAGTTGGGGTTGAGGCCACAGTGTTTGTATGTATGCGTGTTTGTATGTTTGCATGCAAGCACACATCTATTATTTAAGCTCAAAGGATTTTATGGACCTAAAAAGAACGAGTGGCTTTTAAAAACTTAAGTTGGTGGGTGAATGAGCTGACTGAGGAAGTAGATGCTTGCATACGAGCTAGGCACTTCAGTTAGATCCCCGGAGTTCAAATAAAGGTGGAAAGAGATAATGGAGTCCACAAAGTGATCTGACCATCACATACACGGGGGCACATGCACCTCCCCACCACACACACATACACCAATAATAAATGAAAACTTAAAAAAAATGAAGTTAAGCTGAGCATGGTGAGCATGGTGGCACATGCCCATCATCCCATTACTCAGGAGGCAGGAGAATTGCCACGAGTTTGAGGCTAGCCTGGCTCCAATGTGAGTCCTAAGCCAGCTTGGGCTACAGGGTTGAGACTATCTTGAGAAAAAACAAACAACCATAAGAAATTTGGTGTGGGTATTCAGAAGGCTCAAGGGCAGGTGGGCAGTTTTCCATGTAACTGTTGTAGTGTGATTGTCTTAGTTAGCTTTGTTCTCTGAGCAGTGGTTGTAGGTCGGGGCAGAAGGTGGGATACCCAAAGCACCACCCTCCTCCCTTGGCCCTAAGCACGGGGCTCCCCCATCTGTACCTCTGAATCCTGGGGCACAGTTACCTCCTCTGAGGCAGTGGCCATGGAATGGCAGGCAGACTGCTTGAGGAGAAGTGCAGCATGGCGGGGAGGGTTCAGAGTGAAGGAGGAGGTTCCTGAAGTGTGGGGCAGATGTCTTATCAGCAACCACAGGACAGGTGGAAAGGGGGTCTGAGGACTAGCTCCAGGCATGCCTGGGAACCCCTAGACACATTAGGCAGAGGGTTGCAGAGCACTCTTGCAAGAGGTGCTTGGGGTGGTTTGAATAATAGATGTCCCCACAGTCTTAGCCATTTAAATATTTGGTTCCCGGTTGCTGGCAGTGTTTGGGAAGTATGCCCTGCTGGAGGAAGTATGTTACCCGAAGCAGGCTTTCAGAGTTGAGAGACATTTTGTTAAACTCTCAAAGCCATTAAACATTAAGGCCATTTTCAGTGCGCTCTCTGCTTCCTGCTGTGGTTTAAGGTGTAAACATTGCACCCAGTCAGGAGGTAGGAGATAGGGTGGGAGGGTGCTGGTGCTCAACTCACTTTCTCCTCTTTATTCAGTCCAGGGTCCCAGCCCATGGCCTAATGCCCGCCACATTCAAGGTGGGTCTTCTGACCTCAGTAAATTTGATCCAGGTACTCCCTGAGAACCTGTTCAGAGGTTCTTTTACTTTGAAGAGACATCATAGCCAGTGCAGCTTATAAAGAAGTCATTTAACAGCAGGAAGGCCAGCATGGCGCTGGAGCAGTAGCTGAGAGTTTATGTCTTATCCACAAGCTGGGAGGTGGGGGGGAGGGGAGGGAGAAGAGGAGAGAGGGAGAGAGAGACAGACTGACTTGAAAGACTGACTGGACTGGGTCTGACATGGGCCTTTGAAACCTCAAACTTCATCCCTAGTAACATACCTTTTCCAGCAAGGCCACACCCCTAATCCTTTCCAAAACAGTTTCACCAACTAGGGACCAAGCATTCAAATAAGTCTATTGGAACCGTTCTCATTCAAAGCATAACAGTGGTTGTGGTCACCTGTCAAGTTGGCAGTCAGTGTTAATTCTCATGGGTAACTTGGAGAAGGCCAAGGAGTTGTGAGGAGAACCAAAACTTGGCTTGGGAAGGTGCAGTGCATACTCTGTGTCTTTCTCCATTCCTCTGTTCTACGAAGTGTCCACAGTGGGTGAGAGAAAGCTGTCTGTAGATTCTTGTACCCTTGACCTTCATGATGGGGCCGATGGTAGAGATCTTGGGTTAGCTTCTCAGAGCATTGGTGCTCCTGGGCATGGACTAAGATGGAAGGTAGTTCTGTCCTAGGGTAGGAGCTGGGCATTTCTGCTGAGCAGCTTCAGAGGATCCCAGTGGAAAAAGGTGTCTCACACCAGGGGCCCCTGGCTGGTGTGTCTCCAGCATTTACTCCAGGCTTGAGGCATCACTGGGAAAGGGAGAGCCTTCAAAGATAGTAAGATTCCTATGGCAGCCTCTGCCAAGCCTGACTCAGACTCACAGAGGTACTCCACTCTGTAGATGGGGAGCCTGAGTTGAGGTGGGTGACCTTGCCAGGTGACATGGAATTGCTCTGCAACCCGTAGTCCAGGTGGTTGGGCCTTTCTTCCTTGCTCACCCACCTCTCCCTGTGCAGCGAGCATGACCTGGGTGAGGACATCTACGACTGTGTCCCATGTGAAGATGAAGGGGACGACATCTATGAGGACATCATCAAGGTGGAGGTGCAGCAGCCAATGGTGAGCACCGGCCCCTGCCCGTGTTACAGGAAATGGAACCTTTCCTCGAGAGCTGCTGGAGTACAGACCTCGATCCTTCCCCATACCCCGGGGCTCCTCTGCGGGGTCCTTGCAACCCTGTTGAGACACTCTGAGGTGCCCTATCGCTGTTGTGCTCCTCCACTGGGGTGGGTATAAAACTTCCCTTAGGTTCTTAGTCCTTCTTATCGGGAGAGCCTTAAAATAGTAACTGTGTGTTCAGTCTAACACAGTGCTACTCAGCACACTGCATTGTACCTCTTTGTGCAGAGCTGGAGGAGACTGGTGCAAGCGCAGTCGGCCAGCTGCACGCCTTTTATGTTGAAGGGTATTTATTTTCACGAAGCCTTGGCTAATGATCTTGCGGCCGATGGTTCGTGCCAGCTCTGCCTTATTGCCGACAGCTGCTGTGTGGAAGGTGGGGGTCCGCCCTGGAGGGAGGGGCAGGCGGCCACAGCTCCCATGGACCTCTGAAGTCCCCAAAGGTGGTCGCCTTGCTACTTGTCAGTTGTGGAGGCCTTGATGCATTTGTGTTCCTGAAGAAGTGGGGAATTTATCAAAAGCCAGTATTTCTGTCTCCCATCTGTGTGGGAGCCTCCAGCTGGTGGTGGAGAAGCACAAAGCTGAGAGAAGAATTCTAAAGAGCCTCGAGACTTTCCCAGGCTGGTGGTAGCCCGCTGTGGCCCTGTGAGGAGAGAGGGACGGCTACACTGGGTATTGCAGCTCCTCACACCTCCCGGGAGGACATCGTGCACATTTGTCCCGGAGAGGCTAACAATTAGTCTCCTTCCCATCGTGGTCAGGGCTCCTGCTGGGCCAGAGCAGGTGGCAGAGGCTGCAGCTCTGCTCCCCAGCCTTGTAGAAAGTCTGATCAGGGCTTCCCCAGAGCTGGCCTGTCGTGGCCTAGAAAACCTCACCAGGTTGATTAAGGCCTCGTCACTTTCAAGCCCTTGGCAAGCTGGGTGCCTTGGGGATAAATATCATGATGCAGGCATAGTGGCCCGTGGGCATGTTTGAAGGCTCCCCGTGCCCAGGCTCTCAGGCTCTCTCCTGAGACTCCTGCAGCACTCCCAGGAGCCTGTCACTGTCCCTGGTCCTGAAGAGCCCCAGGGCAGTGCCATGCTTATCCATGTCCTAAAGGACAGTGAGTGGTGTTCTAATGTCCAGCACTGGTGCTTGATTTTTTGAGCTGTCTAGTCCATCCACAGAGGGGATGTAGACCTCTTCCTCTAGGGGTCCTCAGAGACAAATCAGTGAATTCCCCCACCTTCTCATCATGTCTGGAACTAGCTGAACCAAACTGTCTAAGTGGAATGTGGCTTCTATGAAGTAAGGCAAAGGCAGGCGCTGCTTTCAGAGCCCAGACATGGGAGGAGCAGCAAGGAAACACTCATCCTTATGCTGTGTCCTTTCCCTTCCCCAGTGGCCTCTGGAAAGGGCTATGACATGGCTCTTGGGGCTGGGGCTGACAGAGGGGTGGACTGTCAGTGGTGTCCCTTCTTCCCCAAGCATGGCTTGAGGACAGTGGACATTGCTGACTGGCTCAATCTTGTTTGCTCCTCCATGCATTCAGATCAGATACATGCAGGTAAGTTGCAGGTAAGACAAGGCTAAGTGGGCTCCTGCCAGCTCTGTCTGTCCACCTGTTGGGAAGGTGTCAGAGGCCATAGAGAAAGCTCAAGACCGTGTTCTCTGAAACACGGGCACACACCCAGGGTTGGATAGGGTTTTGGATTGAGATCCTTCCCAAGGACCTCCCCACTTCTCATCCCGTGCAGCCTCAGATAGCGATGTACATTACCAAGTCTCTCCTCTGTATTGCAGTGCTTGAGAGTGCTGTAGTGCAGAGCATAGAGGGGCCTCTTAAGACCAACAAGAGGGTAGGTAGGTAGGCACCTGTCCAGTTTTGCTGGACAGGCTTTCTGAGCGGAGAGGACCAAAGAAAACAGCTCTAAAGCTCACCACAGCCTGCCTTACTCCACCTTGTGCAGGCCCTGTCTTCCCTGCTGTTGAGGTTGTCCCCAGGTGACCCACTGATGGGCTGTTATCTCAGGCCTTCTGGTTGGAGGTGGGTGGCTACTCTCAGAGGTCAGGCCTGCGGGACATTTGGTGGCGGGAAGCCAGAATGGGTCAGCTGTGGGTCCCCAAGGAGTTAGCCAGTGCCAGCTGCTAAACAGAACTGACACAGTCACGCAAGTGCTTGAGCACATCTCCCTGGTAGGTGGTGGTTCCTTTTGTGAGACCTTCACCCCAGAGTCAGGAGTACCCAGGGGTCTAAAAGCCTCCGTGCCTTCCTTGGTGCTAACTCTCATTAACTCCTCTCCCATTCATGTGCCTCAGTTTTCTCAGCCACCAATAATGGGAAGAGCTGTGGCCCAATGGTACAGACAGTAATCTTGTGGCCATACTGGGAAGGTGTCATCCTTTTGTGTGGGGCAGGTAACCAGGGACTCAAGGGACAGATGGCCTGCAGCAGGTACAGGGTGGCCAAGTAGTGGGCTCCTGGCTCATATCTCATGTCTCCTCCAGAAAATGGGCATGACCGAAGATGACAAGAGAAGCTGTTGCTTGCTAGAGATCCAGGAGACTGAGGCCAAGTACTACCGCACCCTGGAGGACATCGAGAAGGTGAGACCCGCTTCACAGGGGAGCCCAGGGCAGAGGGCTTAGCGCCTGTTCCGGCTTCTCTGTTGCTGTGAGAAAACCCTCTAACTAGAAGGAACAGTTCATTTCATCCTAACTTCGAGGGTGCGGTCACCACTGAGGGAACCTCAAGCAGGAACCATGGAGAAAAGCTGCTTGCTGGCCTACACAGGCTCAAGCTTAGCTAGCTTTCCTAAACAGCCCAGGACGACCTGGCCAGGGCCTGGGTCCTCCTGGGTCAATTAATAACCAAGCCAGCTTTCCACAGACATGCCCACAGGACAATCTGATTGGGCAACCCCTCGATTAAAACTCCTTTCTCAAGTGACTCTAGACCACTGGATTTCAACCTGTGAGTCATGACCCTTTTAGGGGTCTCAATTCAAATACCCTGCATCATAACAGGCATTTGCATTACGCTTCACAGCAGTAGCAAAATTACAGTTATGAAGTATCAATGAAATAACGTTATGGTTGGGGGTCACAACAACACGAAGAACTGTGTTTAAGGGTTGGAGCATTAGGAAGGTTGAGAACCACTGGAGGTTGACACCGCCCCTGGGACAGCATCCCCTCTGCCTTGCCATCATATTCCCACACCGAGTCTTTCCCCTGCCCCCCATTCTGTGCAATGCATCCTAGCATTTCTTCTCATTTGTTTCCATCTAAACCAGCCAAGATGGCAGCTTTAATTTTGAACATATGAGGCCAGATCTTGAGCTAAGTTCTCTAAGCCTCCCCTTGCTGCGTGGGGCATACTGGTACCTTTGTTGGTGTCCAGGAATGCAGCACATTGGATGTGATGGGCCTTGTGACTTGATGGCACCTAAGCCCCTCGGCACTATTGCCAGTGACCTGTACCCATCCACTTGGCCCCTGTCACCTCCCAGTAGAGTAGGTCTGGCTTTTGAATCTTCCTGATGCCTATGTGTCCCTGTGTAAAGAGCAACACCAGTGTCAGGCTAAAATCCTCTTGGCTGCTCTTTGGTGTGGAGCTGGCCCCAGTATGGCCAGAATGGTAAGCGGGGAGCCTCTAGCTGGGGTCCATTGCCCCTCAGCCCAGGCTGCCCTTACTATGGCCTCCACAGAGCTGTGTTCTGGGTTGTGGTCTCAGTCCCAGCCTGTCTTGTTCACTTTTTCCTTCCAGAACTACATGGGCCCCTTGCGGCTGGTGCTGAGCCCAGCGGACATGGCCGCCGTCTTCATCAACTTGGAGGTAAGTTTTCTGGTATATCCCTGCCAGGCATACAGCCATCTCCAAAGACCATGTCCCCAGGGCCTTGTAGAGCTATGCCCTTGCCAGTGCCGTGGCTGGCTCATGGTTGACAGATGGGAGGATAGCTTCCCACACTGGAAACTGTGGCTTAAGGAGGCGGAAGATGAGGTTATCTTGTGTGGCCTGAGAGTCTTCCGTGTGGCTTGTCAGCTGTGCACAGACTCCCACAGCTCTGGAGGAGACCCAGAGGACTGTTAGCGAGGCTTCTGTTAGCATGGAGGAAAGTGTGTCTCACACCTGCTCTGCCCTGCAGGTGTCTGACCACACATGCGCACTGGCTGACCCTGTGTGAAGGTTAACCTGTGGAGGCAGCTGCCTCACAACTCCAGATGCCACACACGAGTGGGTGCCTCTCAGAGCATGTTGCTTGCCTCTGGCTCCTACCACCTCCCATGGCTCAAGGACTGGGGCGGCGGTGGGAAGAGTCTTGCTCTCTCACACAGGACCTCAACCAGGACAAATGACTTGAGACAGAAAAGAAGCTGGAAGGAGTGGAGGGTTGGCTACTGTGCCAACAGTTCTATATCTGCTGTGAAACATGAGGAAGCATGCTTCCTCCAAGCCAAGGTGACACAGGAAGGATGTTACTTCTTGCTGAAACTGAGAGCTGAGTGGCTGCAGGTGGCTCTATTCTTCTGAGGAGCAGAGAGGCCACAGGGTTGCTGGCTGAGGATAGCCACACTTCCATCTCCATCTCTGGCATCAAGTCTGTCCTGAGACAGCTGCTCTGTGTTTCTAGGGACCGATTAGGTCTGGGCACCTCCCTCTACCGCATGACAGCAGTGTGCTCTAGCTTCTTTGTGTACAGGGCACTGTAACTGTGGCTTGGAGTAGGGAGCATATGGCCCAGGACGGCTTTGAGTGCAGCCCAACACTAAACCTCAAATTTACTTACAACATTATGAGATTTCTTTTGCAGTTTTTGATTTTCTTTGTAATTAAATTGTGTGATTCTTGCATACCAATTCTGTTGATGGCACTGGACTGCGATGTCAAAAAGTTAAGACAGTCAGGTGGTGGTGTCCTGCACCTGTAATCTCAGTGTTTGGGAGGTAGAGGCAGGCAGATCTCTAAGTTCAAGGCCAGTTTGTTCTCCAGAGTGAGTTCCAGGACAGCCAGGGCTACACAGAGAAACCTTGCCTTGAAAAAAAACAAAACAAAATAACAACAACAAAAAGGTAGACACGCCTGCCTGCCAGAAACTTCCAGCTGAGTGACACCAGCATCAGGTGACTGCCCCGCAGCACCTCATGGGTGTGTTTGGCCAGCAGGGTCTGGTTGTGCACTGACCCTGCTTTTCCTCTAGGACCTCATCAAGGTGCACCACAGCTTTCTGCGAGCCATTGATGTGTCCATGATGGCCGGTGGCAGTACCCTGGCCAAGGTCTTCCTGGACTTCAAGGAAAGGTGAGTGACATGCGGCTGGACTGCTGTCTTCTAGGTTTGGGAGACCTTGTGGACCTTTCCATGCCGGCCGAGGCAGGATGACAGAGGCAGGGCAGTGCCCTGAGGCGTAGCCTTACATTCTGGGGACTGAGGCAGGTGGCCACTCTTCTCTGTTCCTTGTTCTTCCCTGTAACTAGGGTCACTACCCACTCTTTGTCCATCACAGCTTGGAAGGCTGGATACTCCAATCCTCCAAGCCTCACTTAGATAGCAGGGACTTGTGGGATCCCTGCAATCCTCTCTGCCTCTCTGGCTTACTAGGATCATGGTGGCTAATGTTTGTAGTCACGAGGCCTAAAACCCAAGGAAACATTACAGCTTCAGTTATTTGACGTGTTCTGCTCCACCCCTGACACTCTGGGGCTCTGCAGGCCAGAAACAATAGGAAATCATAGGCTGTTTGGAAAGAGGGGCCCAGTCTTTGGTCGGATCAGAACTTGGTGTCTAAAAATGCAGCAGCCACACCTCTGTGCTTGTGCCCTAGTCTCAGCCATGCTCTGTAGCTCTCCAGCAGGGATTGGAGGGAGGCTGATGCGGACATAGAGCAGAGGTAGGGGCCTGTGTGCTCACTACAAGAGAGACCCACACCTTCCAAGGCCTCAGCACAAAAGCCGTAATGTGCCTCCTTTGTGAAGACAGGCATGTTGTATGTCCCAGCAGTCCCCCAGCTCCCATCTTGCCCCCATCTTGCCAGTCTCCTCAGAGAACAGTGGTCAGATGGAGATATACCAAGGTGTGCTTGTGTTTCAGGATGAACCAGTATTGTTTGAGATGCTTGAGGTTAACTGTGTCTCTGTGGCCTTTTTTCCAAGTTGTGGGTGATTATTTTCTTTCTTATTTTTAATTATGTGTATGTGCACAAGAGTGCAGGTGCCCATGGAGGCCAGAAGAGAGCATCAGATCCCACTGGAGCTGGAGTCATAAGTGGTTGTAAGCCAGGAACCTAGCAGAGGTCCTCTGTAAGAGCTGGAATTATTCTTACTCTCTCTAAGCTATCTCTCCAGGCCCAGTGGTTTTTGTTTTTTAAAGGGAATAATTAAAAAAAAATATTTTATTTATTTTATGTGTATGAGCACTAGGTCTGCATGTGTTACCTGCATGCCTAAAGAGGGCTGTAGAGGGTATAGATGGTTGTGAGCCACCATGTTGTTGCTGGAAATTGAGCTCAGGACCTCTGGAAGAGAGGAAAGTGCTCTTAACCTCTGAGCCATCTCTCCAGCCCACCCAATATTTTTCTTAATAGTACTAAATGTTTGTAGTTAAGACGAAGGCCTAGTAACTCTTATTTTCATAGCCAACTTCCTCCAGCACTCTCAGAATGAACCATTTGTTCAGTTTTGAGGAACAGTAAAACTATGCCTCTAGAGTCTATGCTTAGAAACTCTCTGTGCATCGACAAAAGGGTTGGAGAGTGTCTAGGAAAGTCCCTATTGCTGCAAGTGTCAGAAGTAGCAGACTGTGGTGCTAACATAGGCAAGGGGGCAGCTGGAACTCGTAGGGGAGACAGCACAGGGTCACACTTCAACATTTCTCCACTCCATGTGTTAAGCAAACACTCAACATCCACCCCCAGCTCCATCTTAAGCCTGCAACTCCTTTCTTACTTCTGCTGGGATTGTAGCCATGTATCTGTCAGGGTAGTTAGGGCCAAAGGGCCCCTGGGGTCCTGTGGATAAAAAAAGAGCCCTGCCAGGGTCATGCTTGTCAAGCTAGCAGTGTTCTCTGGAGCCAGGGCTCCTGCCTGCTGCCTTCTTCCTCTGCACCTAAACTTGAGTTTGGGAAGGGGTTGAGTGTCATCTGGTCTCAAAGCCTAGGTATGTTAGTTTCTTTTTCTATTGCGGTGATAAAAACATCATGCACATGGCAACTTATAAAAGAAAGCATTTAATTGGGCTATGGTTCCCAGAGGGTTAGGGTTCTGATGCTGTGAAAAAAACGTCTTGACCAAGGCAGCTCATAAAATGAAGTATTTAATTGGAGTTTACTTACAAGTTCAGAGATTTAGTCTACTATCATGGCAGGGAGCACGGCAGGCAGGCACACATGGTGCTGGAGAGGTAGCTGAGAGTTCTACACCTGCATCTGCAGGCAGTAGGGAAAGACACTGGGCCTGGCTCGGGCTTTCGAAACCTCAAAGTCCACCCCTAGTGACACACTTCCTCCAACAGGCCACACCTCCTAATCCTTCCCAAGTAATGCCCCTCCCTAATGACTAAGCATTCAAATATATGCTCTTATGGAGGCCGTTCTCATATTTGTGGTTGTGAGCCTAGGTTTGGAGCTAGCCTTTAATGGCTGAGGCATTTCTCCAGCCTGTGGAAGCCATTCTTATTTGAACCACCACACTGGGGGAGCAAAGGCTTAGTGTAGGGATGTTTATGATCTTACATCTAAATCTTTAAGCAGGAGACAGAATACTAGGAAGCAAAGCCCTCCCCACCCCCCACCGCCATGGTACACTTTCTCCAACAAAGGCCCCACTTCCTAATCCTTCCCAAACAATTCTACCGCCTGGGGACCAAGTATTCAAACATATAAGCCTATGGAGGGGGGTGGCATTCTCATTCAGACTACCACACCAGGGATGAGACTTGTCTAGAGCTCCTGGTCACTCCAAGAGCCACAGAAAGTGCTTCTCTGTGAGAGGCTCCTACAAGAAGTCTAGCCAATCACCTCAGCCCTGTGTCTATTGCCGAGAAGAGTAAGGGTCCCAGTGCACAGGGACTCTTGCAAGGTTGTTAAAGTCCAACTGGGGAGGATCCAGGGGGTCCTTGACACAGTCCTCTGACCTTCCTTGGAGCTGGAACATCAAGGATAAGCCCAGCCTCCCAGTCAGCCCCTTACATGGCTCTGTCAGGCTGACACTCTGAAGCTGCTATCTCTGACAGCTCACTGGGCTTCAGTAACCTTGGGTCATTGCTTCAAGACTGGACCCTTAACCTCACTGAGAAAGCAGTAGTCTAGTGAGGGGTGGCTGCCATCATGCCTGTCCTTGATAACATTGTCACCTGGCACCGTCTCCTCTTACAGAGGCTCCTGTGTGGTCCGGGCAGACTAGGGAAAGAGTTGTGAGAGTCCCCCTTGTCTGAGAGTCCAGGTGTTCTGGTGTAAAGAGACGTCACCCCATAAAATCAAGTGATAACAAAGAGAACAACATATGGTACCACAAAGATAATCTGAATGGCAAGGAGAGGTGGCGACGTGGTGGGCTATGGCGAGGGGAGGAGAAGGGGAAAGCAGAAGGCAAGTAGGGCTGGCTAGGGCAGTTGGGACTCTGTTGCTTTCTGGCTGGGCACTGGATGCGGCCACTGACACCCCTGAAGAAGTACCTGGGGCTACCCCATTTTGCATGGCCTTCCTGGAGGCAAGCAGAGAGCCCCAGGAGGCAGGGCCCTCTCTCTGTTCTAGGTGTTCCTCTCCAGAATAGAGGTAGAACCATGGATCGGGACTTGAAGTAGGCCTGTAGAAGGTGGCCTTTTTGGCCAGGGGACGTGGGTAACCCTCCTTTGCTAATGTTTTGGGGGCCCTTCTCATGACCCGATCATGTAAAGGATGAGGAGAAAGTAGAAGGGGTGGGAACAGAGCCATGCTGAGCAGTGACCCTGAGGCTCTGCAGCCTGCCTGAGGAAAAGCTGGGGCTTTACAGATGCCTCTGTCTTAGACATGCATGGGTCCCTGTGTGTTCACATTGCCTGTGCACCATCTGGGCTCATGGAAGCTATTAATGTCTTCCCTGATGGGTGCCCGTGTGTGGTGCCATGTACACATTGCTGTCCCCTCCTCAGGCTCCTGATCTACGGGGAGTACTGCAGCCACATGGAGCATGCTCAGAGCACCCTGAACCAGCTCCTTGCTAGCCGGGAGGACTTCAGGCAGAAAGTGGAGGTAATGGGGCACCCTGGTGCCCTGGCCTGGCACAGCTCACTGTCTGAGGCTCAAGAGACGCACCAACTTCCCTCAACACCCATCTTTGGTTTTGTGGCTATTTCCCCTTATTTGTTGGGTGATTTCCAGAAGACATGTCCCAGACTAGCACATAGCCTCAGCCTCATGGGCTGTGAGGGCTGGGACAAGTCCATCTCAGTGCTGACACGTGGCTTCTGCTGATCCAAGGTCCTAGTCACCCTTGCCTCGGGTTATCCACCTCGGTTGGGTTGTTTCCCCATGAGTGTCTCCTGGCTCTTGCTCCCCTCCAGGTCCAGGGGTGTCCCTGCCTGTGTGGTCAGGAAAGCTCTGTCTTCAGAGTTCCAGCTTGACTGCTGGTGGCATGTGGTGCTTTTTCCTTCTGTCCATGCACTCCAGGGGACCCTAGGTAATCCCACAGCCTTGTATGAGGCCCCCTCCCACCCAGCTTCTCACGGGTGGCCCCAACAGGCACTGTCAGACCATGGGGTACCCCAGATCCCAGGGTCCCATTGTGCCCCAGGATATAAAGGGTGGTATGTCATCTCCATGTGCTATGACACCCACATGCATACTCTAGAAGGCCGAGAGTTCAGGGCTGAGGTCTCTTTCCCTTTGTGGCTGGCAGTGGGCATGGGTTCTCCCAGGGAAGGAGATAAGGGAGCCCCTTATCCACTCACTGCTTTCATACCAGGAGTGCACGCTCAAGGTCCAGGATGGCAAGTTCAAGCTGCAAGATCTGCTGGTGGTACCCATGCAACGGGTGCTGAAGTACCACCTGTTGCTCAAGGTGAGGCCATCAACCTCCTCACCATGCCCTGTGTCACGTGCGCTCGGGTGGCATGGGCTTTGGCCTACAGACAGGGTCCATGAAAGGGTGTCATGGCAACTGGAAGGAAAATTGTGACTAAAGTGGGAAGAGACAGAAAAGCACCTGCAGATGAGAGATAGGGGGCTACTGTGGCTGATTGTTTGAGTCTGAGAGCTTCCTGGCTGTAAGTGAGCCCCATGTTTGTTGGAGCTGGGCAGGTGGATCTGCACCTGGGCCGGTGGGCGGTTTTGTCCCGAGGGTCTTACTGTGTGCACTAGGTAGAGGCAGGGATAGGACTGGGATGCTGAGGGCTGACCCTGGGTCCCTTCTCACTCCCACAGGAACTCCTGAGTCATTCTGCAGACCGGCCGGAAAGACAACAGCTCAAAGAAGCACTGGAAGCCATGCAGGTAGGTAAACTGAGGCAGAGCTGAGCAATACCCAGGTCAGTGAGTCTGTGTATCTGGACCTGAGCTCTTTGGCAGTGTGGAACATTTGCCCAGAGTAACACAGACAGGACAATAGGGGTGGGGCCAGACTCATGTGATCGTGGGGGAAATGGCAGGCTAGGTACTTTCTCCATGTGTCCAAAATCCCCAACGACACTTGCCAACAGTTGCTCCTGTCTCCCACCTCCTGTGTTCCCAAGTGTCCACTGGGGCCATGGTTTTTAGGTGCCAGCTCCATCCTGGAATGCTCCTTTTTTGCCTGGACTTCTGCTGCTGAAGGCCTGTTCCATGCCATGTTCCTCTGTCATGTGCTTCAAGGTTGTTTTTCACATGCTGGCTTCAAGGACCCCTGTTTAGCTATTATCTGGCCCTTGGAAGCTCAGCACACATCTCTGTCTTGCTCAAGAACCTTTGTGTTTCCCTCTGCTCTCTGAATCAGGCTAGGTTCATTGAGGACGTGCATAACAGGAAAGCCTCAGATTCCATGAGAGCCTGGCCACCCTCAGCTTTCTAGGCATGCTCTGTTCTTTCCTATCTCAAGGTGTGCTTGGGCCATCTCCTCTTCCTCACTAACCTGCCTGTATCCCACTCATCCAGTCTTTGCCAAGAACTTGACACTGACTAAGAAAGTCATCTTTCAGATTTTATACCCCAGGGAGTATCAGGCTACCTCACAACCATACCTGTGCCTCTTATGGATACCTGTGTCTTAGACAAGGTACGCCCCATACAGGCAGGTACCTTTGGCATTACAGTGTTGTAGAACCGGTCAGTTGCAGCCTTCACCTCTGACACCTGCACCCCAAGGAGTCCTCTGGTCCCTGGACCTTTTCTTTTCTCAAGACACCTCATTTGAAAGGGGGAGGAGCTGCAGTCCGTCCCCCACACAGCTGTCAGGGGAGGACGCCGTATCTCAAAGCTGCCTAGAGCAGGCCTCCTGTAGCTGGAAGTTTGTACCCGTTTTGGGTGTACTTAAACATGGGTGCCATGGCTGACACAGGGACCTTTGGTTGGCTCCCCTGAGATCACTGCAGCAGGGAGACCACATCTCCCACTGCAGACACAGTTGGGTGTCAGCTACCCATTCCTGGAGCACATGATTCATAGCTAAAGGTGCACCCTGAGCCCCAGCCTGTCCACACCCTTCCACTCTTCCATCATTTCACTTGCCGTCAGCAGGTGGCTTCTGGTCTCTTTGTGAGACAGTACCCTGAGTATGCCTGACATTCCACAGAGAGCTTGTGATTCTGTATTTTCCATGTCACTGGGAGTCAGCTCTTACAACTTTAAGGGTTTAGAAAGTGTTGTGGCCTTTTGCTTTCTGTCATTGTGATAAACACTATGATCAAAAGCAGCTTGGGGAGAAAAAGATTTAATTTAGATTATATTTCCCGGTCACAGTCCATCATGAAGGAACCTGGACTAGAAACCATGGAAGGAAGGCTGCTTTTAATGACTCACTTTCTGGCTTGCTTAGCTAGCTCTCCTATAACTCACCTGCCTAGGAATGGGGCCTCTTGCAGTGGGCTGTGCTCTCTCACCTCAGTCGTCAGCCAAGATAATCCCTCACAGACATAATCACACAAGACAGTGTGATAAAGGCAATTCGTCAATTGAAGTGCCCTCTGTAAAAACTAATACAGAAAGGAATCTTTAATGTCTACATTGAAGGCTTTCCTTATGTAGAAAACCTTTAATGTCTACAATGTAAAGCAGAAAATCATTCATCCAGCCAGTGTTTGAGCTATGACTGTGTCGGAGCTGGCTTTCCCGCAGGGTTGCAATGCACACTCCATTCAGGACTATGTCTCTCTGTTAGTTGGCTGTTCTGCCTCCGTGGCTCTAATATCTGTCTCCGTGGGAATCCTCATCCCAGACATGCACTTCTGTGGCTCCTGCCAGGTGTGCACAAGGCCGCATACGCTCAGGTCTGTCCCTGCTGTTGATCTGGAACAAAACCCACCCTTTACAAAACTGAGTACAGTGTGGCATCTGGTAGGAAGCAGCAAAGCACAAAGCTTGGGTGGCCCTTGAAGTGACCCCAGAAGCAAGAGAGGCCAGAAGGGAGGCAGAAACTGGCTCCAGGATGTTGGTCTGGCTCTTGTGTTTGGGGATTTCCTCTCTGCTCTGCTTTCTAGGCAGGATTTGCTGTAGCATTGTCCCAGCTACCACTGGGCACCGCTTCCAGGCCATTTCAAACTTTCCGAAGCAAAGTGAACACTGCCCCCTGGTGATCAACTAGATGATTGCATTATCTTGTTGGGACCTCCTTCCCTCAAGCCACTTACGGAATACCCAGGCTATGCAGGCAAGGCGAGGCTGGAGCGTCACAGGAGCACAGAGGTCTAGGAAGTGTCTGTGTGTGACCCACAGTGGCTGTGGCTCCATTCTGACATAGAAGGCCTGATGAGTGAAAGAAACTTCACCAGGAGCCTGGATTTGGGGTCTCCCAAATGTGTTCTCAGCCATAGCATCCTCCCTTGTCTCCTGTGTGTGATGTTTCTTACTTCCGTGGCCTGGAATTTGAGCTGCCCTAGGCAAGGTGGAGGAAGGGTTGTGGAATGACCACCTGGGCTGGGAATGTAAAACTGTTAGGTGCCAATTATTGACGGGACTTTGGAGTGCCAGGTCCTGAATAATGACACTTTTATTAATTATTAATGATTAATAATGAGACTTTTAATTTATTAATTATTAATGCATGGTATAGCTTTGGTTTGTTCCCACCTAGCTCTTATCTTAAACAAACCTGTTTACATTAATATACATTCATTACCTTAGTGCTGGCACCTGTTTCTTCCTCTTTGTCTGGCTGGTGACTCTTCCTGTGCCTGATTCTTTCCCAGAGTTCCTATCTCTGTTGGAAGTCCTGCCTTCCTTTCCTGCCTTTGCCATTGGCCATTCAGCTCTTGACTAAACCAATCAGAAGTCTGTCCTGTACCCAGCTCTCTGCTGGTACAGAAATCAGTATTTGAATAATACAAAGACAATCTTACATGAGATCAACCCTACAGTAAGGGGCTTGGCGTTCACCCCCTGTGACTTGGTGTACTTCTCCTGTCTTGGTTTCCAGGACTTGGCCATGTACATCAACGAAGTGAAACGGGACAAAGAGACCTTGAAGAAGATAAGTGAGTTCCAGTGCTCCATAGAAAATCTGGTAAGCAGGTGGCCCTTCCTCATCTGCTTACCATAGTGGCTGCTTGTGAAGCCTGATGTGGAGTAGGAGGAAGGTGGCACATTCGTGGGGCAGTATAAGGCTGAGGATGGATGAGGAGATAGAGAAAGTCGTACTGACAATCCAGTTCCCACTGTCCCTGGCCAGGACCCCTTTAGTTCTTTGCCATGGGCTGTGGTGACTAGAGGCGGGAGGCTTCGCCTGGTCTGTGGCCCTCCTTTTTCCCTGTCAGTCTCCCTGCCCTCAGGATGGGCAGGGTTTGGCTCAGGGATGGGGCAACAGTCCTCTCAATGAGAGCTGACCCTCAAACCTCCCCTCATCTGGGAATCAGGCTGGGTGCTCCATTGGGCAGGGTTGACTCTCTGTAGCCCACTCCTTGAGAGGTTGGCTGGGAGAAGAGATGAGCTGTTTCTGGACTCAAACCCTGCCTGGCGCCATGTTGACTCTAAATCTCTCTCTGCTGTGGTCTTCTGCATTAGAAGAACTTAAGCACACCCTTGCCCCCACCCACCAGATGCTCATAGCACCCAAGTGGTGACTGCATCTCCAAATGCTGCCTGATGCCCAGAGCACCTTGACACACAACCACATGTTTTGTCACAGACATTTCCTCTTCCTGGTGATTTTTCACTCCCAAGAGCTTGGGGAGATGAAAGCCTCGTATCTAGGCTGGCATGTCTATCTTTATCTAGAGAGGAACCTCCAGACCAGGCTCATCAGGAGACACCCAGGCCATGTGCTCAGTTAGAGAGCAAAAGAAATTGCCAAGCAGTTTTCTGATTCTACCTCATGCTCTGTGCATCTCTAAGCATGGGTGTGACCTGAAGCACGAGCATTTGTGGGGTCCAGGCCTCTTGCCAGTCATCCCTGCTTTCTAGTCACTGCACAGTGACAAGCTGCTTTTGTATACGAGGGTTTCGCTTTGGTGTGGTGAGTCATGTTTGCTCTTTAAATGACAAGGAAAGGGCTGTGGGTACGGCTTAGTTGGCAGAGTTTCATGCACAGGGCCCCAAGTAAATGGGACTTGGGGCCACTAACTGTAGTCCAGCATAGGAGTGGGGGTGGGGAAGGCAGAGGCAGAAGGCTCAGCATTGTCTTTGGCTACACAGACACTTCCAGGCCACTCTGGGATGCAACAGGCCCTGTCTCAAAAAGAGACAGCGGTCCATGGATCATATCCCAGTGGTGCCTGGGATATGACTCTGCCACCTGGCATGCAACCTTGGTGCTGTGTCCAGATGAAGGCACATGGCTTTATATGTCCTGTGTGACAGGAACAAAGAGGCACAACAGTGTTACCATGCAGATGTGAGTGCCACTCTGCCGTGCCACGGCCAGCATATGCTACACTGAAGCCAGGCCTAGGAGCTTCCACAGAGGAGTCCTGCTGCCACCCGCAGGCATAGTCACTCTACCTGGAACTCGCCCTCTGCCTTTTCCTGAATAGACTTATCCCTTGCAAGCTACAGAGGATGGTGGCGAGGCAGATGTCACAGAACAGAGAGGCACAGTCCAAACAGAACTGGAAATGGAAACTTCATAGCCTGGTGATCACAGGGCCGGGCACGAGGCTGCTTCCTGTGGAGGGTGAACCCCTGGGTGGACCCCAGCCTCTGGCTGCCACTCAATTCAGTAGTGCCACTTCCTTTTTTTATTTACTCTCTTAGGGCTAGACTTCTGGCTTTTCCTACAGCTCTGGGTTCCACATAACAGCTGTCTGTGAGCGTGACCAGGCCATCAATTGCCCTTTGTTCCCAGGGACTCAAGGGAGTCCCCATTGTGGCCCCCTGAGAGGGGACAGGCTTGGCTCAGGTTCATCATGGTCCTGGGCTTCCTCATCCTGAGAACCACCCAGTCACCATAGGCACATTTTCCTAGTTCACACCTGGCTCCTGCCATCCTGCCCTGGCCATGCCCACTTAACCCCCATCCTTGGGCTAACAGTCATTGCCTTTCCCAGCAAGTGAAGCTGGAGGAATTTGGGAGGCCGAAGATTGATGGGGAACTGAAAGTCCGGTCCATCGTCAACCACACCAAGCAAGACAGGTGAGCAGGGTGAGGGCTGGCACCCCATCCCAGATTGACCCACCCCATTTGCAGGTGGCCTGAGACAGACCTTCCTGCGAGGACAAAGCAGGAAGCTCAGTTTTAATTGCTTCACTTCTTGTCTACTCAAGCCTCTATGCGCCTGTCATATCAGTCAGCAGTAGCCACACAAAGGCACTGCTCTGCCTGTGGTAGCCCTGAGCTGGGCCAGGAGACAGGCAGAGGTGGGAAGCGGAAAGGTCTGGTCTCCTAGAGTCCCTGTGAGCCCCTTGCCAAGCGGGTATATTTAGGCAGGTGTGTATCTGTGTGGGGTGAGGAGTCGGGATGGGTCAGACATCTGTGAGGGCTGTGGTCACAGGAGAGAAGTTCAGTGGCCTTTGAATAGTGCTCCAAGGGAGGTCAAGATGAAGGGCTGAGGACCTTCTGCATGGAGATGGCACTGAGGGGGCTTTATGGGAACAGCAGAGTCCTGACCAAGAGTCACTGTGCCAACGTGGACCTGGCAGAAGGCAGGGCCTCACCTTGGAGAGTGGATAGCATGTGCAGGCCTTGGCCCTCTTGGTCTGACCCCTTTCTTGGTCTGACACACTGACTGTGGTCTCAGGGGCAGCTGTCTGGAGCCAGGGAGGGATATAGGCTCTTCACACAGAGCATTGCCGTGCTGACGCTCGGTGTACTGTCTGGCCAGGTACCTGTTTCTGTTTGACAAGGTGGTCATCGTGTGTAAGAGGAAGGGCTACAGCTATGAGCTAAAGGAGGTCATTGAGCTACTCTTCCACAAGATGACTGATGACCCTATGCACAACAAGGACGTAAAGAAGGTGGGTCCAGATCTGGAGAGGGGCAGGTGCAGGGTCCCAGCCCCAGGGAGAGCACGTCCTGTGTCAGTGCTGGCTGAGCCTGCTGTCATTGCAACGGTGGCAGGTGGTTCCCATGGTGGGTGGTAGGCGCCCTTAGGACTTCAGCTCTCCAGAAGTAGAGTGGGATTCCGACTTTCTTCCTCTTCCTTCTCTTCCTTCTGGTTTTTTGAGACAAGGTTTCTCTGTGTAGCCTTGGTTGTCCTGGACTCGCTTTGTAGACCAGGCTGGTCTCGAACTCACAGCAGTCAGTCTGCCTCTGCCTTCCACGTGCTGGGATTAAAGGATTATGCCACCACTGCCCAGCTGAAGAGCCTTGTTTTCAACTGTGACTTTTAATCTCAGTGGACCTGACTTTAGTTCCTCATTGTCTGTTGTAACAAGCAGGCCTTCCCGCTCCATTCCTGCTCTGTCTTGTTTGCTGGTGGCTGGCTTGTGGTTTGTCAGCCTCTGAAATTCAGTGGGCTAGGACTGTGGGTACAAGGGGGTGGGGCTATGGGTATAGAGGCTGTGGCTATAAGGGGATGGGATTCACAACAGACTATCTCAGTTCAGTCTTGCTTCTCTGAGGCTTCAGAGCACAGCATCTTCTGTGTGCAGCCCTGTGCTGGGTTGGGGCCAAGAGCCGGCTCCGACCTTCTGCAAATCCCCATACAGGGTGCAGGCCTACCATGCACAGGCTCCTCTTAACCCTGGTGTCTGCAGCAAGAGGCAGTGACCAGGGCTTCTTCCCAGGTCCAGGGCTTCTTGTCAAGCCTTGGGGAAAACAGCCCAGAGTGCTTGACAGAGGTTGTGTTCTTACCATCCTGGGCTGTCCGCCTCCCCAGGCTGCAGTGCCTCCAGGGCTCGGCCAAGCCTTTTAATGACCTGTTTCCCTTTCCTTTCCTTCATGCTTCCTAGTCTCATGGGAAGATGGTAAGCCCCTGGTACTCTCCCCCTCCCTCACTATCCTACCCCAGTGCTGCCCAGTGTTGGCCTTTCCAAACATCTGGGTCTGGGGCTCCCTGGGCCTGAGAAGATCAGGCTCATGGCCCTCCTCCCCCTCCTTCTTCTATGTCTTAATTAAGAAAGTGACACATATTTGTGGTAAAAGACTTGATTGGCAGAAGGTGTGACTTGGAAGCCCACCTGCTGTCCTTGCTGGGACGTAAAGGTCAGGGGTCACTGAGCACCGGCAGGCAAGACTTTATTATCTCTGCCCTGCTTCATCCTCCTCACTTCTCTCCCTCCTCTCTCCCTTCCTCTCTCCCTCCACGTCTAACAGACTAGGCTACACATTACCTGGAGCCCTTTGGAAGCCCTTTTCCCAAGCCTAGAGAATTGCTGGGCAGTGGGTGGTGCTGCTGCTGGGTTGCTTAGTTTGGTCAGACCCCCAACCAGCTAACGCGTTTTTTTCTGTTGTTTTTAACTCAGTATATATTTAACCCAGGAAGAGAAAGTGAATGGGTGGGCCTAAGGCTAGTTCCTGGGTACCACTCCTTGGGAATCCCTGGGACAGCAGGGATTTGGGTTGAAGTGCTCCAAGAAGGATTGGAAGAAGGATGGGATTTTCCAATAGAGGGTGGGCCCTGAGCAAGGGCTTCCACACCCACACATTCGTACATACACATAGCAGGCCCCCTATGTACATACAAGTGCACACAGCAGGGTTCCTGCACATACACCTGTATGGACACAGTTGGGTTCATATACATCCTGTGTAACTGCAGCATACACACACATACACACATACTTCCATGCTCACAGCAAGACCCTCACATACATGCATATGAGCCCAACAGCATCTCTGCATATAGTACTACGGACATATCTGTGCATATGGTCCATGAGCAGAACATGACCCATAGGTCAGGACACATGCACACGTGATGTACACACATGTGACAGGAGCTATGGACACCCAGACACAGGCTTGGGTACACATATGTGGACACTTACATGTCCAGGAACAGAAACAAGTATGCATGCACACATGTTTACATGGGAAAGCACACATGTACTTAGACACAGGCACATGTTTCTAAGCACCTTCACACATGAGAGCACCCTGGCCTGCTCAGACCAGAGCACAGTGCACCCACATTCTCAGATGTGGGGGGATGCATGCACAAACAAGAGCATGTGTGTGTGTACACAAGAAAGTGTTATACATAGGCATGGGTGCGTGCGTGCGCGCGCGCGCACACACACACACACACACACACACACACACACACACACACACACTGCCAGTAAAGCACTTGTGTACACTGTAGCTGCCAGAATGTGCCTGTCCCCACAAAGCCATGCCGGCTTCCAGCATGCCTCTGTCCCCACAGTGGTCCTATGGCTTCTACCTGATTCACCTCCAAGGAAAGCAAGGCTTTCAGTTCTTCTGCAAGACGGAGGACATGAAGCGGAAGTGGATGGAGCAGTTCGAGATGGCCATGTGAGTCCTGTTGGCTCTGGCCCTCTCGGGCAAGGGGTGGTGGCAGAAGGTGGTGCTGATGCTGAGTGTGAGACAAGCTCCTTCCCCATGGGTACCAGCTGACTCGGCAGGCCCTAGCTCTCGGTCTCCCAGGTGCCCCGGATGGCATCATGTGTCCGGCCACACGGCCCACACAACCCTTGAGGCTGAACCTCATGCTTGACAGCTAAGTGGTGACTGGTCAGGGTGATACTTGGTAACCGGTCCTCAGAGCCCACCCAGGATTTGTCTTTGTTTGAAAGTCACAGAACAGTGTCTCATGTGGGTGAGGGGGGACCCCAACACAGAGAGCATAGAAAGCAGATGGGGGACCGAGGGGGTGTGTGTGGTGTGTGTTCTTGGCTCTACAGGTAGAGCTTGGGGATTTCTGGGGAGCATACCACTCCCTGAGGCTTCCCACATCCTATGTGCACAAAATTTCTTCAACGTGCAGAGCTGTGGTAGGATGCAATGTATAAGTATGATTAATAACTAAGAACTAGGTATTAGACAATTATATAAGGGACTGTAATGAAATCGCCAATCACTATGCTTGCACAGGGGCCAGTGGTAAGCAAAAAAAAGAAAAAAAAAAAGGCATTGGGATGCAAGTACTGTGTGTTTGTGACAGTCGACTTGATACCACCAGCTGGGCACGAAGTGACTTGTAACAGGTGGATACAGTGGCAGAGGATGCCCATGTCCCGGCTTAGAGAGATTTCATCATGTTGTTCACAACAGGAGCAAAATCCTGTGAGCTTCTCGATTCTGGGAGTTCCCATGTAATGTTTTTAGTCCGAATTGCATTGTGGGTAAAACCTCAGACAGTGTGGACAAGGAGGGACAACTGCATACACATGCTAGGCTTGACATTCCTGGGCCATTTTAAATAACCTGCCTCACCTGGCAGGCACCTAAGCAGGTCTGAGCCCTCCTCCCCCACTCTCAATCTCGCTGCCTGCCCTGTGTGGGGAGAGCCAGACTGGAGTGCAGGCTGCTGGTGTGTGTGGCCAGCGTCTCTATGCAGTTGTCCCTGTGTTCATGGGCTTAGAGAATGCCTGGCCGTGAAGTGCCGGAATGGAAGAGAATTCTCCTTCTACCAGGTCAAACATTAAGCCGGACAAGGCCAATGCCAACCATCATAGCTTCCAGATGTATACGTTTGACAAGACCACCAACTGCAAAGCCTGCAAGATGTTCCTCAGGTGGGTTTCTTCTGCCTGTCCAACTCTGGGCTCCAGGACACCCTGCTCAGCTGCCTGTGACACCATGGCACCTCATCTCCCACCTTAGTTCCACGTGATGTCTCAGAGAACCAGGGGGATAAGCACTGGGGCCAGCAGCCGTAGCTGTCGGAGTTCCAGGCCCGACAGAGGGTTTGCCAGTGCTGAGGACCATGGAGGGAAGGGGCAGGCTGGAGTGGTCAGGGCAGCAGGTACTTTGGGGGCATGCCTGCTCCAGGGAGGATCACCAGGTAAACGGAAAGTTTTTGACCAGGGGAATGACTGTGGCTGCACCTCCACCTCACCTCCCCCTCACCCTCCACAGGGGCACCTTCTATCAGGGTTACCTGTGTACCAGATGTGGTGTCGGGGCACACAAGGAGTGCCTGGAGGTGATGCCCCCCTGCAAGATCAGTGAGTACCCACCAGTGCATGGACCCCTCCTGTTCACATCTGCCTTTCTCCCTATGACGGTTCTGTGCCTCAGAAGGGGGTTGGATGAGAGGAACTGAGGCCAAGATACTTGGTTGGGAGGGATTGTCAAAAGCTAGGCGAGGTTCCTCTCCAAAGCCCTTGTGACTTTTCCCTCTATCTACTCTGCCTCATTTTGGACATAAGTTCATGGTTCCCTTGCTCTACACCCACACCCTGGGCACAGTACGTCCTCAGCAGGAATGTGGGGTTTCCTACCATAAATCCCTATCATAACCGCCTCCTGCTCCTGGTTCTTCTTCCACGGGACTCCTGGCCATCACAGCTTGGTTAGTGAGAGCACACAGGCACTGTCACGTGCAGGGTAATGGTTTTGTTCTCATGATCATTTGTCAGGTGAGGTAGCCTAAGGCTTTGGCAAGGGAAGGGTTGAGCCTTGCTGGTACTGGGAGCAGGAACTAGATTCGAGGCTGGAAGTGTTTGGTTTGGGGGTACATTTGGAGTTTGGAAAGGGTATCCCATCTCATAGTGGCCAGGCACCGCCAAAAGCCTATGATGGTTCTGAGAGGTGTCAGGACCTCACTGAGGAGCAAGTCCAGATGGGGAACAGGCACACACAGGCAAGAGTTCTCTGCCAATCCTAAAGCTTCCTCTGAAGGGGAAGTGTGGGATGCTGACATGTTCCAGGGACAGCTCTGTATAGGTAGTGGTGCCTGCTGAGTGCCAGGCTTCGTTCTCTGTGCTCCAGGGGGGGAGGATACCCCCAGCCCGCCCTCGCCACCCACTGGGGAGGTACTGCTGTACCACACTGCACTGGCAGAGGAGGCCGGCTTGCTCTGAGTCCAGGGGCTGGACAGTGGCTGGATTATCTTCTAGTGGGACAGCCCTGCCTCTGCTCTCCATGCAGTGGGGGCTAGTCCTCTGTTTGACAAAGTCCTGAGATCACTGTCTTATATTGAGCATAAACCCTGTCACCTTGGTCTCTGGTCCGGTAGTTGCCACCTCCATCCAGATCAGCCCCAGAAACTGAGTCTTGACAGTGGCATTAACTTTGTCAATGTCGCCCTCTTGTGGCCCTTAGTTCCTCATGCAAGGCGACTGCCATAGTTACTTCCCACTTTGTGTGTGTGTGATTCTAAAAGGTAACAATTATAAAAGCAAATTGAGGAGCATAAAAAAACAAAACAAAACAAAACAAAAAAAACCCCAAAACACATGGCCAGGCACAGTGGTGCGTGCCTGTAATCACTCAGGGAGTGTAGCACTCAGAGAGGAAGAGGCAGGCAGATCTGAGTTCGAGGCCAGCCTGGTCTACAAAGTGAATCTAAGACAGCCAAGGCTACACAGAGAAACCCTGTCTCAAACAACAACAACAAAGACAACAACAACAACAACAAAAAAAAAAAACAACTAAACAAAACGGCATGCAAAAAAAAAAAAAATTGGCATGAAGTAAAAGAGATGATGGGGCCGGGTGTGGTGGCACATACTTTTGATCCCAGCACTCAGGAGGCAGAGGCAGACAGATCTCTATGATTCTAGGCCAGCCAAGACTACATGGTGAGACTCTGTCTCAACAAAAGAGGAGAAACACGACCAATGAACTCACTTAGAAATAAAGGCGTGGGCTGGGTGTGTGAGTAGCTTAGTTGGTAGAGTACAACCAGGAAGTGGAAGCAATAAGATCAGGATCAAAAACATCCTTGGTTATGTTTTTGATACATGAGACCCTGTCTCAAAACCAATAAACAAAAGCCATAGAAATAACTGAAGGCAATGTTTTGGTATGTTTTAAGTTTTCTTTATTTTTAGAAAATACATTTGCTGAGTCACTTCCTCCTTTTAATTATTAGATACTTGTTGCCTGTAGAAAAAGTTTAAAATGCAGAGAAGTATGAAGAAAAAGTATGGAGACGGGGATTATTCATAGTCCTTTGGGCACCAACAGACATGTGTGGAGCATTTACTTTCTTTTGTGTGCCCCGGTGCTCAGGTCCCAGTCTTGTTAGGGCTTTTGTTCTATCTTATCCTAGAGAACAGTATCCTCTGTGTCATTGCAAACCGTGGCTGGCTCTAGACATTATTGCAGGGGCTTGTGACCCCCCTGAGGATGTAACCCTCAGCCCTCTGCTAGGGGATGCTATTGCTGTCCAAGCTTCCTTCCCTCTGATCTGCTCCAAAGCTGAGCTTTGGTCAGTGTTCCTCTGGAGCTTGTCAGTTTTCTCCTGTGAACTGTGATAGTACCACCACCAAAGCAGATGGGCTGGGTAGCCCCCATGGGAGCCTAGATGCCCCTAGGGAGATGCCAGCCCTTCCTGAGAGCCTTTCCATGGAGAATCCTCCCTGGACTGTACTACCACCCTGGGGGGCATTGCTACTCACCATCATGTGCCAAGGGTCTGTAAAGGACTCAGTAGTTGTGGGTATTAAGGTCCCACTGGCCCCACACCCTAGCTGTCATAGCACTTGTTTTGGCCCATGTTGAAGTAGAAGAATGGCCTACCAATGAATGGGGTATGTCTTCCATCCCCCATGATAGCTGAGTGACCAGTGTCCTGGAATATGCTGGAGGGTCTTAGAGGAAAATAGTGACAGGGACCTTGCACACCCACCTCTGTATCACCTACCCATGGCAGGTATTGCCAACAAGGTGTTAAAATTACCCAGTGAACTCCAGGCACCACCAGGTGACCCTAGAAGTTGCCACCATTCAGACAGAGTTGGCCAAGGTAGAAAAGCCCAGGCTGTCTCAGATATGACTTCCAGTCTGAGTTCCCCATAGCTCCTTAGAGCTAGAACTCAGTTCATTGGTGTGAGGCTGGGTCTATACGAATGTCTGTGACCGGCCTCTAAAGGGAACCCCTTGCAGCTCAGCCAGCTACTCCTGTCATATGAGTGTACACTGTGGAGGCCGCCCTTCTGTCAAGGCTTCCACTTTGACCCCTGATCCGCTTCCTTTACAGGTTCTCCTGCAGACTCGGTGAGTGCTCCCAGCTTTTCTCTTGCATGGGGCTGTGCTTGCGTGGAAGCCTGTGCTTTCTCCCCTGGTGGCTCGCTAGCTGGGGTGTCTTTGCAGTTCACCCACTCTGCCTCCCCAGGGCTCTCCAGCTGCAGCTGCGCTTCTGTGGCACAGCATACTCCTGGGGGCAGGTCCTTAATGTCATTATGGACCATAAACCATGTCTCTTGCAAGCTGTAGGGTCCAGCCATGTTATCCAGCCTTGACTGGATCCTCACTAGGCTCCACTAGGGCATGGAGATGCCTCCATCACACAGCACTTAGTTGTGTTGTCCATTGGCATGTCCAGAACAAGAAGCTGGGGGATGACAAAAGGAGGTGAGAGTTAGGGTTGTGGAGTGGGGCTAAGGAGCACAGGGTGGGGGTTATGACAGATTCTGGAGAGGGAAATAATGTTATAGATACCTACTGGAGGTTAAGACTTGACCCTCCCATGGAGTAGTGCTGATGTGGGGACCAAAAGAGGAGCACTTTCCCTAACCATCTGTGTTGTCTTTGCAGGATGTTCCTGGGGCAGGACCAGGTGAGTGTCCTGGACTTAGCCACCTCTGCAGTCTATATCCACCCAACAGGCTGGACCTGGGTGTGGTGGTGGCTGCTTAGCACAGCCATCTTCGCCCTGGCATCTCTGGCTGCCTCCTCTGGTTGACTTAGGTTCTGACTGGGTGGGAAGGGGCCACTTTCAGAGAGGTGCTAAGCTGCTGCCCTGAAGCCTGTGTGAGGAGATCACTGCCATTTTTCTGTCCCCCTGGTTTGGCCTGCACAAGCTGTTTAAACATTTGGGATGAAGCCTGAGCTTCCTCAGAGCACCCAGATGTTACCACTGCTGGGCCATAGTGTCCTGGAGCAGGCCTAGCAAGACAGTTTGGTGACATCTTTAAACATCTGGGGTGAGACTGACACACAATGGGACTCCATCTGACAGCAGCTTCAGATTCTGGGGTGCTCAGCCTAGATCTCCATTGCAACCTCGGACCCGCCTCTGGCCAGTTCTGTGGCACCTCATCTCTAACATGGGGGCCCCTGCCCAGCTCCACACTGCAGATCTCAGCTCAGTGGTGTTTGGGACACACCTAAAATTCTATCTAAAAATAAGTAGCTCTTACTAGAATATTCTGGCATCTGTTTAGATAATTTACTTAAGATATTTATCGAAAGTTGTACTGGCCATATGAGAAGGATACAGAAGGGTAATGCAGGCACACATGTCTCCGTGTTGGGGAAAGGTCAGTCTGACCAAAGTGTTCTCCAGACCAGAAAAGGTCGGTGATGGGTGAGCCACCAGCAAGGGTGAAGTCACCAGTGAGTCATCCTCTTCTACCTTGTCATCCTTAGGTCCCAAGATGGTTGCTGTGCAGAATTACCATGGTAACCCAGCCCCTCCTGGGAAGCCAGTGTTGACCTTCCAGACAGGGGATGTGATAGAGCTGCTCCGAGGTGACCCCGATTCTCCTTGGTGGGAGGTGAGTCCTGGGTCCTTGAGGGAGGGGCTGCAGCCTTACTCCTCTTCCCGTCCACCCCCCAAGGCCAAAACATGGAGGTTTGGGATGATGCCATAGAGTGACTCCTTACCATGGCCTCTGTCACCTCCATTCTGAATTCTGCTATGTCTTCGTGGAGGCATTTGCTGCACAGGTTGGGGTGCATCTTTCTTGAGACTCTTGTTTGCCCTGTCTTTCCTGCCTCAGTGGACTCCCAGGCCCTCACCAGGTTCTGTCCCAGCCATGCCATGACCCATCCTCAATGCCCCCATTCTGGTCGGCAACCCCTCACAGCATTAGGGATTAGCCCAGGGGCCTGTCTGATGGAAGGGAGACAGATATGGGCCCCATTATGTTCTTGAGGACTAGATTACAGTTCTGAGCTGAAGTGTATTATGCCATTAACACTCTATCTGTTGAAGCCCCAGCATTTAAGGAACCCTGAGACTCCATGGCCAGAGTGGAGTACAGAATTAGGGTAAAGGTTGGTGATATCTGTAGTATCTTGTTCTCTCAAGGATACCATCAGAAACTGAGTCCAGACTACTGAGCCAGACACAGAATCTGAGACCCAAGGGTACTGACAGTTGCTCTGCATCCCAGGTGTCATGGTTTCCTTCGGTTGTTGTGATGGAACATCCGACAAAAAGTGACTCAGGAGAAGGGGTTTATTTGGCTCACAGTTCCAGGTTATAGTCCATCTTTACAGGGCAGTCAGGCGGAAACTTTGAGGCAGCCGGTCTCGTCACATCCACACTCAGGAGCAGAGAGGAAGAAGGGATGCATGCTGAGCGTGCAGTTCACCTCCTCCACTCAGATCAGACCAGAACTGAAACCAGGGAGTAGCCCACTCATCCTGGGCCCTCTCAATTTACTTAAGGCAGTTCAGACAATCCCCCACAGGGCAGGCCAGCCTGATGGAGACAGTCAGATGATTCGGGGTGTGTCACACTGACAGTTAACCATCACACCAGGTCTTCATCCTGTCTGCCCCCTTCCTGGTGTTACTTCTGACCTAGGTGGACTTGCAGAGACACTTGGCTGTCGTGTTGAGCCTCAGTGTTATTTATCTGTAAAACAGGAATGCCCTTATCTCTCTGCTCCAAGTGGTGGTGAGATCAACTGAAGTCACAACAGAAAGGTGACAACCCATGCCAGACCTGGCATTAGTAAGCTGCAGGCATCTTCATGCCTCCTTGTTGCTTCTTCCTCCAGGGGCGTCTGGTTCAAACCCGGAAGACAGGGTATTTTCCCAGCTCATCTGTGAAGCCCTGCCCAGTGGATGGAAGGGTGAGTCTTTTCCCTGATGCTTCTAGATCACAGGGTCCAAGATGCAGCCAGCATGTCAGACTGTCCTTGCTAGATGACTATAATGAGCTGCATCTGGGGCAGAGGTGTTACTGTCTTTTGAAGGTATGGGAGCCAAGGATGAACAGCTTGTGGGTGTCTTAGTCATTGTTCTATTTCTGAGAAGAGACAGCATGACCAAGGAAACTCTTACGAAAGAAAGCATTTAATTGGGGCCTTGCTTGTAGTTTCAGAGGACTAGCCTGTTACCTTCTGGCAGAGCATGGTGGGGGCATAGTGGCATGTGTGGTTCTGGGGCAATAGCTGAGAGCTACATCCTGATCTGCAGGCAGCCGGCAGAAACACTGGGCATTGGGTATGGGCTTTTTAAAACTTCTTGTCTCACCCCTAGTGGCATACTTCCTCCAACAAGGCCATACTTCCTAATCCTTCTACTCCTTCTCAAATAGTTCCACTCCTGGTGGCTGAGCATTGAAATCTATGAGGCTATGGGGTCCATTTTTATTTGAACCACCACAGTGGGCATCCACCCAGTGGAAACTAATATAGAACCACTGCCCTCCTCTGTGGATAATGCTCTATACATCCTCACAGGCCGTCAGAGCCCAGAGAGGAGGAAGCCTCCCAGACACGAGGCCTGAAAGCTGGACATTTTGTCTTTGGGAACAAAGGCTAGGTGTCATTTTCCTTTTGAGTTCTTGGCTCTGGTATCAAAAAGCAGCAAGGGGTTGGCTTGGAGCAAACTGACTCCTGTCCCCCCCAAGACAGCTAAAAGTGAAAGAGACACTTCTCCCTGAAAGTGATGGGACAAGAGGCAGTCCTGTTCAGGACCAGACCATTCATCTGCTGCTTGAAAGAGAAGTTTTAAATGCTCAGAGCTCTTTGGACAGACCTGGGGAAGCCATAGCATCAGGGAGAACACGGTACCTCCTGAGTGTGGCCACTCATGCCCACTGTTGGGGATTTCCTGTGGCACCAGCCTTTCCCTTCCAGGAATTAAGTTTGTTCCTGTTGGAAATTCCGCATTCATTTATGCTTTCAGTGAAGATCAGTCATTCCCTCTATCAGCCATCCTGAACATCTGCTCAGAGGAAGTCCTGGCAGTGCCCCTGGGGATGTTACTGTTCAGGGGTGCTGGGCTAAGTCCACATGAAGTTCTCACCCCGTGTAGACTGCTGGTCCCAGGATTGGGTTTCTGATGAGCTCTCCTCTACCTCATGCCCTCAGGGGACATTAAATCACCTGTGCTCTGTTCCCAGCCACCTATCGGCCGCCTGCCATCCCGGGAGATTGATTATACTGCATACCCTTGGTGAGTGGATTGCAGGCTTCAGGATTCGGCGCTTGGTGGCCTCTGTGTCATAGGGCGTGGCCCTATAAGCCCATGAGCTGGTCTGGGACATGGGGGAATGAGCCCCACTTGGCTATTTCCCTGTCTCTAAAACAGATCAGCAGGCTTTAATATTTGTGGTAATGAGCTGTTTTCTATGCAGGCTTCATTGAGCTTCATTATACAAGCTATAGAAAGTGATACATTTATGGTCTAGTTTGTAGTCAACGACTTTGGGTTACGTGGAAGGGTAAAGGTGAATGTTTTGGGAATGGTCACAGGTCACAAGAGTCTTGAGCTGATTCGGTTGATTCTGTTTCCTGTTGTGCCCCGTGCCTAGATGAACTAGTCCTCAAAGCCACTTAGCCCCACATGGGCAGCATACAAGCCTCTAACCCCAGCTCGGTCATTCCCTATTCAGTCCAGTATCCCCAGGCCTCAGATGTGATGTTTGCACAGCTCCCATGTCCTCGTCCCCTCCTAGCACCTCATTGTCTGTCCCATTGCACATCTCTAGGCCCACTGGGTCCTCTGGTGTGCATGCCTACCCTGCCCTGCACTGACCTGCAGGTAGCAAATGACTGATGACATGGAGACCACGTGGAGTCTCTGACAAAGCAACGTAAGGAAGGTTCTGGGGTACAGTACCTCATAAGGGAGCATGAGGCAGCTGTTTGCATTGCATCCACAACCAGGAAGCAGAGAGATGAACAAACGCTGCTCAGCTTGCTTTTTCTTTTTATTCCGTCTGAGAAGCCAGCCCATGGGACGATGCCCTGCCCACATGTAGGCTGGGGCCTTCCACCTCAGTTAGCTTCATCGAGGGAATCCCTCAGACATCCGGAGTTTTGTTTCCATGCTGATTCAGATTGACAGTAAAGATTATCTATCTCACAGTTGTTTCAGTTTTTAAATTACTTTTTTTTTTATCCTTTGACAATTTTAGACATGTATAGTGAATTCACATGATAGTGAATTTTCATCTTTGTTGCCCCTGTTAATCTCCATCTCCCCAACTTCTCCCCAGCTGGTGCCCCCCCCCCCCCCACTTTATATATTTTGTGTGTGTGACCCACTGAGTTTAGTGAGGTTTGCTTGTAGAGCATGGGGGAGGGGGTTTTGGTTTCTGTTTTGTTTTCTGACTAGAGTGTGAGCAACCTACCAGTGGCTACCACTAAAGAAAGTGGCCCCCCTTTCCCAACCACCAGGAAATGTAATTTATTAATTCCAGATCTACGTTGATTGTGCAGCGTGACTAGGCTCAGGGTGTCACTCTGGGAATGTGGAGGTTGCTTTGCTGAGGCCATCAGCCTCACCTCCCACCTCATTATCCGCCTTAGTTTTTTATTTTGCTCAGTTCTCATTCAGCGTGGATGGTGGCTATCTCCAGAGTGTCTCTCCCAAAATGCCCCCGGCATTACTTCTTTTCAAGTAGCGAAAAGAATTTAGAAAATTGGGGTCTGGTAGAAATTTGTGATTCAAACAGGTCCCCACTGCCACCCCGGCTGTGACACTCTGTTCTCTTATCTCTCCTCTGTGACATCTTTATTTGATACCCTTGTGTGCTTGACTTGAGGTGCTGGCCCCCACATGATGCCCTGCTTATCAGGACGTGGCCACATTAAACCCCCCATCCCCGTCTGTCTATTCACCTCAAAGGCTAAAGTTCAGACAAGGAGCAAAGCCTGAGGCAGGCGACACAAACACAGCAGGGCCGCCACTCCTTCAGCATTGTCTCCGTTCTGGTTTCCTGGCCCCAGGTTTGCCGGCAACATGGAAAGGCAGCAGACGGACAATCTGCTCAAGTCTCACGCCAGTGGGACCTACCTCATCAGAGAGCGTCCAGCGGAGGCCGAGCGCTTCGCCATCAGCATCAAGTGAGCTGCACCCCTGGGGCCCATGGGTACCCTTCCCGAGCCTGTGACCGAGGGTTGCAGTGGGTCTTCTCTTTGATGCCCAGGCTGGAAAATCTCAGACAAGATGGAGGCAGATGAGACGGACATGTGCTAGCCATCAGGTCTCCTCACATGTGCTGGGTACAACCTGCAGCCTACACAAGGGCAGGGCTCCACAGCCAGGTCACCCCATCTAAGGGCTGGGTGGAATGCTTTCAGAGACAGATGAGCTGGTGGGACACTGGGAGGTACCGTCAGGGACGCACTGGCAGCCAGTCTAGTGAGTTTTAGGTAGGTTGTGTCCATCATGTTGCTTTGTGGCACCTGGGAACCCTTGGAGACCTCCAGCAGTGCCCATGGCAACGTTGTAGTTTGGGCTACAGGCCCTTGGTCCTGACATCTTTCCTCAGCTTAAACAACAAACCTGTTGTTTAAGGTTTGTTGTTTTCCTCAGCCTAGGATGCCCATGGGCCCAAGTCTTAGACCTGTTTTTAGGTGTTTAATTTGCTGTGATTCAGTGGTTCTGAGAGTCCCGAGCAGGATGGCCTGTGTCATGGGAAGAGCATCTTTGGTCTTCTGGGAATTGGGTGAGGCAAGCCCTATGATCTGGCCGTGGTGAGACAGTCTGGACACTCTTGCTGCAGTGACAGAAGCTGGCCTGGAAGGGGTGTCAGTGGGGGCAGGAATGGCTCATGGCCCCTCAGGCAGGTGGCATTAGGCTCAGCAGGACAGCCACAGGACCTGAACATACTACTTTCTACCTCTGCACTGAGTGAGGGTTCAAAACTTGGCTGTCCCAAGCATCCTGGGACAGACCATCCACACAGTCTAGTCTAGGCAGGTACAGGTATGTGCATCTGACACCTGAGGAAGACTGCAGATGGATACCCTGCAGCACCCAAGGCCAGGGTCTTGCTTTCCAAGACTGTTAGGGGACCCCCAAGGGTAAAAGGGGTAGAAACAAGGATCTATGGAGCTAGAAGGGGCTAGAACTGGGCAAGAGGCCCCTGGGTCTCCCCACTTCAGGTAGGGCACACTGCCAGGAGCCATCATTTTTCCAGAAGACCCTGTGATGTCTAAAAAAATGCATAGCCTACGTTCAGCTCCACACAATGACTTGGCAGACATCACACTCACCTCATAGGAGTGGCCACGGTGCCTTGTGTATGGCCAGTCTTAGGATACCACAGTGGGGGTCCTTTTGATCTGTCTCATAGTATATGTTCATGTTAAGTCCATGAGAATACAGGTAGGTGCCAACAAAGGCCTTGTTGAGTGGGAGACCGAGAGTGGGGTTTGCTTATTGTTTAGTTGGTTTTTGCTATAGCTGATTTCAGGGTATTGAACCAACCTTGCATTCATCCTAGGATGTCTCCTCACCCTTCAGCACCAGCCCAGGCGTCCAGTCCTTGTTACACGTCTGCTTCATGTACAGATAAATTTAGGGAGATGGTTCTCTTGCCTCACCTGCTGGGTTCCTACACCCAGTCATCAGGACACTGGCTTGAGTGATGTCTGTGTTAAAGCTTTAACCTTGGTGTTGCCTCTCAAGGCTCTTGAGGTTGGGTACACTTGAACTAAAGGTGATGATGGGTGAGGGCAGGGCAGATGGCTCTGAGATCTGGTGGACTTGTGCTCTGTTATTTTGGAGCAGCCTAGAGGGTGTTAGGAACTGAGGTCAGGGAAGAGTTGGCTGTTTGAAAGCAGGAGGGAGATCTTCCAGTGCCCAGAGCTCCAGACTGGAGGGAATAGAAGCCTGGAGAAGGTGATTGGGAAGAGAGGGGAGAGGAGAGGAATGGAGCTGGTAGTGGGGAATTCCAGGGTATGGACTTCAAGCAAGCAGGGAGATCCCAGATCTTCTCAAATGGAGCAGGCCAAGGGCTGGAGAAATGGCTGGCCTAGAGAGGCTGCAGAGGCATAGAGGTCTCAGTCAGGGTCTTCGCTGAAGCAGATCTGGAATAAGCCTGGAGCTACGTGCTTTCACCGAAACAGCTGAGCTGTGTGTCTACCCAGGTTTAATGATGAGGTGAAACATATCAAGGTGGTGGAGAAAGACAACTGGATCCATATCACCGAAGCCAAGAAGTTCGAGAGCCTCCTGGTATGTGTGCCTGTCACTCTTGCTGCACCAGGCCCAGCCCACTTCACAACCACTCTGTTCCTTGATGGCCCATTCTCTTGGCCTAGGGAAGAGTGATTCTTCTTAGTGTGAGGCAAAATCTAGGGAAGCTAGCCAGGGTCCCTGGGGACAGTTGGAACCATGCTATACCTGAATTTGGTCACTCCAGAGCCTTCCCTAGCTTACATGATAGAGCAGAAACCAAGGCTCAGTGATTCTTCTCACCCCAGCATGAGACTACAAGCTGCTTCCACCTGAGCCTCCCACCTCCTTCTGGTCAGCACCCCCAGAATGCAGTTAAAACTTAAAGGTTTTTTTTTTTTTTTTTTTTTTTTTTTTTTGCGTAAAGTGATGCTAGGATGTTTCTGTTTCTGCCCTCCACCACCACCCTTCATGTGGCCATCATTCCTGCTGCCCAGTCTTCTCCCTGGCACTAGCCTCATGGCAGGTGTGCCCCACAGGTGTTCCCTCACTCCAGCATGGGAGGAATTGCAGTCGGCAGCTCATTCTTCAACTCTGGGATTCCTTCCCTAGCATTCTTTCAGAACTCTTTGGGAGCACTGCGCCCGAGGGAGAGGTTTTTGCGGCACTGGCCATCCTAGCTGGGCTTGTCTGGAGTGCAAGTGAGGGGTCTCAGAGGAGGGATCCCTCCTTTGAGCCCCGAGGTGGGAGGGCTCTAACAGCAGTTGTTGGGTGCGCCCCCTGCAGGAGCTGGTGGAGTACTACCAGTGCCACTCACTCAAGGAAAGCTTCAAGCAGTTGGACACTACACTCAAGTTCCCCTACAAGTCTCGGGAACGCGCTGCCACGAGAGCCTCAAGCCGGTCCCCAGGTAATGCTTGTGCCCAGGGGTACATACTCAGGCCATTTTCAGGGCTAGGTCAAGAGCCGTTGCCCCCATCCTTGAGCGTGGACCAGGCCTTCCCCATCTGTCACTGGCGGTAACCCATGTCCCCTCTTACTTCATGTAGCAGATGGGGACCACAGACTGTTACATTCTGGCTCTTGGCACCTGTGCTTGGAGTTGACAGTAGTGAGAAGCATAGGACAGGATCTGAGAATAGTTGCCTCCCTACGTGTCCTGGTGCCCTGGCTGTTCGAGGCAGCTATCTGCCTACAGGGAGGACTCAAAAACCAATGACAGGGCTGCAGCCTGGACCTTGGGGGAGAGATAGGCCTAGAGCATTTGGCTTCTAGCTCAGGGCTCTTTCCCTGAGTCACCCATGTCTCCAGTCTACAGGGACCTGCAGAGCCGTGGGACCTTCTTTCCCTCATCCCAGACAGAGCAGAGCAGATAGTCATAGGGTTGTCAGCTTCTATGACAGCCGACCCCAGGGTCCTTTCAAGACATAGGTGTAGAGCAAGCAGTGGCCTAGCTGTGCCTATGGTGGGCCCCTGCCCTTCCTGGCATCCTCCTGAGGTAGAGCCTGGCATCCCCCTGTGCTCCTTGGCTGTTAGTATTCTGCCCTCTATCTTACGCTGTCTCTTGCCTCTTTGCAGCTTCCTGTGCTTCCTACAACTTTTCTTTTCTCAGTCCTCAGGGCCTCAGCTTTGCCCCTCAGGGCCCCTCCGCTCCCTTCTGGTCAGGTACCTCCACTGTTCAGGGCTCAGCCTGATGGGTCCCCTTGGCTGTGCAGCCTGGCGCTGGGTGGGTAGGGGGGGGGCTGGGAGGAATCAGGCCGAGGCTGCTGCACACGAGGACACACTAGGCAGGGCTCTTCCTTGGCCACACTGATAGCCACTTCCCTGCCTCCATCAGCTGTCATCCTTCACAGCCATTGAGAGCTTTGCCTCTGGCTTGGGAAATGTGGGCAGCAGGGACATAGCTGGTGACTACTCTGTGGCCGTGAGAGCTGCCATGGCAACAGGAACGGATGCAGAGGAGAGGGTTTCAGTCAGCCCTGGTCCGACATGCTTTCTGCTGCCAGAGCCAAAGCCCTTCTGTGTGTGGTTGTGTGTGTCCCCTCACTTACTGCCATTGTCACCTGTCCATCAGGACTTCTGAGTTCTGGGCTGAGTCAGTTCAGCAGATTTCCAGTCTAATTTGGGGGTCTGGGATAGGGAAACCAGAAACTGTAGTGGTCAAGGGCATGGGTGCCTGCTCCATTCACTGATGGCATGCTCGTTGCCTAGGAAAGCCCAGCATAGGTGATGGCTCCAAACCTTTTTAAGTGCATGCACGGGTGTGTCATATACCCAGACCGTCCTAGGTGTGAACTGGAGGCTAGTGTGGCCCTCCAGAGACCTTCTGTAGCTGTGGGCACAAAGCCAGACTCTAGATTCCAGGGAAGAGACCCAGCTCAGTGTGAGGGCCTCTAGCTCTGCCTGGGCAGCTCCTGCAGCGGTGTGATATCCCACCCTATCTTCCCCAATAGTGTTCACGCCACGGGTCATCGGCACAGCTGTGGCCAGGTACAACTTCGCTGCACGAGACATGCGGGAGCTGTCTCTACGGGAAGGCGACGTGGTGAAGATCTACAGCCGCATCGGCGGGGACCAGGGCTGGTGGAAAGGCGAGACTAATGGACGGGTGCGTAACTTGCCTGGCTTGAAGGCTTTGTGCAGAGGCCCAGGGCTGGCCTTAGGTCAGAGAGGAACGCCTTTGGCTCCCGGTCTCACTCAGACAAGATTTTCTACAGCTCAGCCTTGTTCTGGGCATACTGGCTCTGAGATCTCCCTGGTGTCACTGGTAGGGGTGAGGACTTAGAATCCAGATGTTCACTGTGTTCCTAGCTCCACTGGTCAGGTTTCAGTTCAGGCCCCATAGACCCTGTACTGTTTGAGACCCTCCCTGTTCCTCTGCCTTTGTGGTCACTTGCAGGCAGGGAAGCCACAAGAACCAATCAGGTCCTACCCATCCCATTTCTTCCTCCTGTTTCCAGTGACTGCCAGGTGGATCCCTCAGACTCTTTTACCCCAGAGATCCTGCAAAGAGCCCATTTCAGTCCACTGAGCAACTTTTTGGGAAGGCATAGAGCTTCATGTGCCACCAGCAGGACAAAGCAGATACCCACCGATAGGTATACCTATCTGTCTATATAGGTGTGTGTGTGTATATATATATATATGTAGGTATACCCTCTGTCTGCAGAGGGTCATGCAGTCTTGGCCTCCCTGCTGAAAAGTCTATACCTGGTAGCAGGAACCATTCTGTTCCCCCTCAGCTTGGTGTCTGCGTTACAGGCCTCAAACGTGTTCATTTATACCCAGCTGCCCATTAAGAGTGCAGGCTACTAAATTCTAGTACCATCTTTGAGGGCTGGACCCTACTGAAAGTAGGCCCATGCAGGTGGTGTTGGAAGCAGCTGGTACTGCAGTTCAGTAACTCGCTTGCACCTCACTAGGTCCAGGCAATTTCATGGCATAGTTTGAAAATGACTGGTTTGAGCTTTTGTGAGCAGCTTTTTCTAATTTAAGCTGCTGTCATCATGAAATGCCTTTTTATCTCTGGCAGTTTTACTGATGAGTCTGTCTACTGACAGAGAGAACAGCAGCTTTCCTTGAGTAGGTGCTTTTCTAACTCCCCACTCCACCCGCTTTCCTGTTACTGTGGACATTTCTTTACTCCTTAATATTTCCTGGAGTCAGGGACATTCCCATTTGACATAATGAAGTGGTATATTTTCAAAGTTTACCAATTTTCTTAGTTGTGTCTCTTCTAGCTATTGCATCATGCTGGATGCATGAACTGCTGGCCAGACCATCCTCCTAACATCATCTAACATCCTAACAGCATCTGTTCCATTTCATTTGTTGCTGTGATAAACCGCTTTAACCAAAAGCTACTTAGGGGAGGAGTGGTTTATTTCCTTACACTTCTAGGTCAACATCCATCACTGATGGAAGCTGGGGTACAAATTTGAAAGCGGGCACCATGGAGGGATACTGCTTGTTGGCTCTCATGATCATGCTCAGCTAACTTTCACCTGCCTAGGGGACGGTGCTGCCCACACCAGGCTGGACCCTGCCTGGGTTATTACTATCATGGCTGAGGGGCAGTTCTTGTGTCAGGAAACATGGGAAGATGTGGTTTCCTCAGTAGGAACTGACACTTTCTCGCTGGCAGATCATCAGCTTCTCATCTCCCAAACTGCTCCCGGCCTCGCCCAACACTTCTTGTCATGTGTACACGTGCAGACACACATGACCCTGCCATCTCTTTCAGATTGGTTGGTTTCCTTCGACATACGTGGAAGAGGAAGGCGTCCAGTGAGAGCGAGACCTGGACAGGACTCATGGATGTTCTTGGGAGTCTCCCCTGCTTGGAAGTTCACCACTGGCTTCTCTGTGGTTCTGGAAACTGCCTGCCAAGCCTGCAGCTGTTATGGCCCATAGGGATGGGGAGGGTGTCCTGTCACCTGCCCCAGGTGGCCTGTCCTTGGGTACATTCCTTGTACATAGAGGAAATCTGTGCTGGCCACACCCAGAGCACCAAGGAGAGAGAGCTCAAGCAATGTGGCCAGGCAGGTGTGGATGACAGCCACAATCAGCAGCCACCGCCTGTCCCTCTGGCTTAGATGATTGTTCAGGAGCCTAGAACTCAACTCATGGTGTGCCAGGGTGGGGCTGGGGACAGCAGAAGGGGCCTTCCCAGCCCCACCTGCAGCCCTGCACTGATCTGCCTGTCTTTGCTGCTGCTCTCTAGAGTAGGTGTCAGGTCTGGGAGGCAGGCAGGACCAGAGCCAGGCAGTGTTATAGCACCCTCTAGGCCCAGCTTGGAGAGAGAGCTTGCACAGGGGCCACTGGGTCATGCTAGCTCTGGCGCTTTCCCTGACTGCCTCCCTACCTAACACATCAGGGTCCTGCTGAGTGCTGACTGGGGAAGCCCCTCCCCCACGAGGGGCCTTTGGAACGATGACATTGCTGACCCACTCCCAGCCCGCCCAGTCAGCGGTACTGCTCTTTGCTTGTTGAAGCCCCTTTCCTGAGCCAAGAAACAGGTCTTCCCTGCCCTGCTGCCAGGGGATGTGTCTGTGAACCCCAAAGGGCAGGGGAGAAAGCCAGGTTCCCCTCCCCATTGCCTCTCTTCTCTCCAGGAGGCACTCTTGGGTCTTCTGCATTCCAAGCTGTGGTCCCTAGCAGTCTGCTGGCCTTTGCACTAGATGTTGGGTCTAGCCCTCAGCAGGCGCCCCACGAGGACTCCTGCAGCCCACACACTGGGCCTGTGGCCAACTCAAAATAAGTGCTCTTGGGGTGTCTCTGCCCCTCACCTCCTTCTCCTGGTGCTTCCTGGCCTTTGACCTCTGGCTTGCCTGGCCAGCCTCTGTTTCCTTCCCCTGGAGTTCTGTGAAAGCTTATGTGAAGACACAGACTTCTTGAGGCCCTTTTTCCCTCCATCTAGCCACCCAGTCCTGGGTGAGGAGGGAGCCCAGGCCGGGACATTGCCCCTGCTGGAGGGGGACAGTGCACTACCTTGCACCTGGGGACACTTTCCAAAGTTAGCCTCATGTCCTCCAGCTTGGTGCCCACGTGCAGCATGCTGGGGTGTCAGGGGAGGCAGGGGGATTCAGAAGATGGAGAGCAACAGGAAGTGACACACCCTGGAAAGCCTCAAGCTAGGAAACTGGTGTGGGAGCGAAGGGTTGGCCTTGGAGAGAGTTGGGGGTCACGGGCCACTTTGCACAGCTCCCAGCCTGCCCAGTGCAAGTGCAGAATGTGGGTGGGTGGGGCCGTGTTCGCCCCTCTGTATGAATGCCCTCAGCACACACTTGTGCTGTAGTTTTGGTTTTATTTTTTTCCTGGTATTTGTTTGTTTGTTTGTTTTGTTTTTCCGTTATTGTGTGAGTTTTTTTTGTCCTGTTGTGTTTTGTTTTGCTTGTTTGTGTTTTAAAAGGGGAGAAAGTTGTAATTATTTCATCTAAAACTCCCATTATATATCTGTGAATAAGAGATTCTATAATAGCAAAAAGGGTGTATATTTTAGTTTGTCATGGTAAAGTCATGATAACGAAGGACACTGAGAAAAAGAATAATTTAGAGTTCTGGCTTTGTGAATGTTTCGTGTTTGTTTTGACATTTGTGTTTGGTTTGGTTTTCTGGTTGTGAGCTGCACTGAGCAGGGTGCCGGGTGGGCTGGTACATGGACACCTCTGCAGGAGACTGGACACCATCTGAGGACTGAGGACTGGGGGCCTGAGAGCAGCTGTGAACATTTGCAGCGCAATGCATGCAAGTCAGGGATGTGGGGGTCCCACAGCCAGCAGCACCCCCGAATGGAGCAACTGTACATTTGCCAATGGGTTTCCCCCATGACTACGGTTTTTACTACAAATAAACCTACGTTCTATTCTGCAGCAGTGGTTAACCTTTTGTGCCTGGGAGGAAGTGGCTGGTGTCCTGAAAGTCCAGCAGGGTTTGACCTACCCAAAAGCTGGCTGCTAGGTGGTCACCTCTGCCTGGCTGGCACAGCATCCATCAGAGTTCACCAGGCAAGCCTAAGAGTAAGAGCCACCGTCTCGGGAGGTTAAAAACCGCACTCTCTCCTCAGGGTGATGAGTCCTGTGTCATTTGATAAAGAAAACTAAAATGTTGGTTGTCCTCACCATACCCTACATAAGAAACAGCCCATGCCTTAGGAGCCCAGGCTATCCGGCCCCTGTCTCCTACCTTTAGCCTCTATGTCCCTGTTCATGGCTACCTTGCCTCCCAGCGTGACTCCTGAGGTTCCCACTGGTATAGCTAGAAGGAAGCAGAGGATCCTATCAGCTCTGTGGCCAGCATCTTGTTGCAGATCCACTCCTGGCTACAGTGATGCTTGGAAGTGCACAGAATGAGGTAGGCACACATCCACCTGGAGAATGTGGGGTCCTGTTACTAAGGAGACGGTGCAGGGCCACAAGGGTGGGCAGCCAACTGCCCTTGGCATAGGCATACCTCATAGGTCCCTGTGAATGTTATATGGGCCTAGGAGGCACTTGGCTAGTGTGGGTTCTTGTTACAGATGTGGCCTGTGGCTATGGTTACACCACTGAGAGTGGAGGAACCCATACTACCCCATCTCAGCCCCTGTACTCTGTGTCAAGGACTGTAATCACGTGTCCCTCCTGTGCGCCCAGGCCAGAGACGGGGGGAACATGAAGATTTATGTCTATCCCATCTTTATCCAGTTCACACAGTAGGCAGTCATCCTGTGCGTGTGCATACCCTTGTCCTGACATGCCTTCTGTACAGTTGGGCTCTCGCCAGCCTGTGATGGCTTCACCCATTGCAGTCTCCTGTGGGATTTGTAACTAGAAGCCATCAGGGAACAGAGGAAAGAAGGTCCACAGAGGCTTCAGCCACCCACCAGCCAACTCCTGATCATGTCTGGACCTTACTACCCTCGCCTCTTCTGGGTCTCTTTTGCTTTGATGGTCACCACATGTGGGTAGCAGGTGGAGGTAGTGCTTCCTTCAGTACTTGCAGCCTTTTCTGGGATGTTCCTGGGTCCTCAGGTGTCCCTCTTGGGGCAGTCCTGGTTCCCAGTGGGCTCTGCACCTCTGTTTTCTCAGGTGACCCCCATCACCTCTACTGTGAGAGAAGTGTAGACTGCAGGTGTGGGCACAGAGGCCCATATCCTTGTGGCCTCAAGGTCAAGGCCAACAGATGGATTTTCTGAAGACTCCCTGCTTGCCTTGCAGTGGAAGCCTCTTACTGTCTCCTCCAGTGGCCTTTCCACGGCACACGTTTCTTCCTTTTCTCGTGAGGACCTCGTTGGCTTAAGAGTCAGTGAGGAAGCTGTTAACTTTGCCTCTTATGAGACCACTGACTCTGACTACCCCTGGAAACCCTGAGGTGCCCTGGAGCTCATGAGGGTACTGGGGCTCATGAGCTTCAGTTGTACAGTTCAGCTCTAGCCCTATCCATGTCACAGCTATTGAGTGTGCAAGTCTTCTGGTTGCCTGTAGGAGAAAGTGCAGGCGTGACCTGGTGGGCGCCTACTGTGGGACACCCTGCTCCTGAAGTCAGAACACTGAATTCTGAAGTAGCGTGAGTAGTGGTAACTGGCCTGTGGATGAGCCTGCACTCTCCGAGTCTCCTGTAATGTGCTTTTTCCTCATAGAGACCTGGCGGTGTGAGTGTTCAGCATCCAGTCTGTGGTGCTGGGCTACCCGTTAGTCATAGGCTTTTCACTCTGTAAGTGGTTTCTCACATGCAATAAAGCAAACACTGCTCCCTGAAAATGTCTCTGGAGTGCTTTATCTCAGCACTCTTTATTGTCCCACGAGCATTGCTGTCCTGCCAGGGGATGCCAGGTGACAGTGTCAGTTGCCCATTGTCCTTTTACTGAATGATGTACCGTCTAGGCTGGCAGAGCTCAACCTCTCGTGCTGATTAGTTTTATTTATGTCAATTTGGAAGAAAGAACCTTAGTTAGCCTGTGGGCAAATCTGTGTCACCTGTATCTTGACAGAGAATTGATATGGAAGGGCCCGGCTTGCTATGGGTGGTACCAACCTGAGCTGGTGGTCCTGAAAGCTGTAAGAAGGCAGTCTGAGCAAGCCATTTAAGCAGCATTCCTCAGTCGGGCATGGTGGTGCACGCCTTTGATCCTTGCTGGGAGGCAGGGGCAGGGGCAGGAGTTCAAGGCCAGCCTGGTCTGCAGAGCCAGAGTTCCAGGACAACCAAAGCTACACAGAGAAACCCTGTCTTGAAACAAACAACAAATGAACAACAACAACAAAAAAACAAAACAAAACAAAAAACAAAACAAACCAAAACAAAATTAAAAATAGTAACATCCAAGGAATTTATCTGGGCCATAAAGTGAATTCTACGTGCTGGAATCATATAATCTGGCTTCTCTTTCTGCTATTAAAAGTCACATGATCTCCGTATGTTTGCAAACCAAAAAACATACTTTTAAATAATAGTCCAGAAAGACATTGTAAGTGGAATCTTAGAGCATTTCAGATATACCTATACATTTTGAGTTCATGTAATAAGAATACCTTCTACTGAGACTTGCCAAATAAGAGTGCTTCTCCAGTTTGGACAGGGCTTGGAGGTCAGCTTACCTTCCTGACCCAGGCATTCTTCCTAGGTCCAGCAGCGTTTTGTTCCTTCTATTTAAGTTTTAGTCTTGGGCCAGCGAGATGACTCTGGGTAAAGGCATTTCCCATGAAGCCTGAGGACCTGAGGTCAGGCCCTGGAACCCACATGGTAGAAGGGGAGACCCAACTCCAGAAAGCAGTCCTCTGTCTTCCATGTACCATGTACACACACTCAAATAACTAAGTAGGGACCATCCTCTCGGCCAAGCAACTGCCAATGTCAAGAGTTCAGCTGTGCCCTCTTGCAAAAAAATCACCTTAGCTGTCCTTTCGGATGAGCTTACAGCCCTTCACGGAGGAGCAGGGACCCTCCTCTGAGTACCTAGCCATGCCATACCTTCTATTGGACACAATGCTATCCTAATCCTGTGAGCTCTTGGGGAGGACCTAGAGTATATAGGCCAGAGAGATTAGTAGAGGAGGGGTTCCCTGTATGTGGCTTTGGGAAAGCCCTCATCTCTGCTTTCCACTGCAGCTTCTTTTGCTGGGGAGTACTCACTCTCTGGTAAGAAAGAAAGCCCCCAAAATCTCTGGTTCCCCAGGTTGAACTTCGGTGGCTTTGTACCTGGGTTTGCCATTGGGACTTTAGGGGGAGACATTTATGTCTCTCCAGGGATGGAATTTGAGCACCATATGTATTCTTTGTGAAACTGCATGGGTTGAGGTGTCTGGCTTTGGGGCAGGGAGGTGGCAGGAAGACAGGTCACCTGGCCTCGCTTCCGGGTAAGATCTTGCAGCGTCTGCTTGGCAGGTTAATCCTAGCCTCCTGCCTTCACTCACAACTTGATGTGCTTATTTCCTTTCCCGACTTCGTTCCAGCCCTTTTATGTGTCCTAACAAAATCAAGCTCAGATTTACATGTGGGCGTTCCATGGGGCGGCGCTCAGCTGGATCCCCTCTGATACTACCCCACATCTTTTCACCTGCTCTTGGGATGGTGATACACATGGATGTGATGAGAGCCCCTCTGAGCCCCAACTCCATATGCAAGCCAGTCTGTCAGCTGGGATTAGAGTTTGCTTAAGAAGGGCCACAGACAACCCGGCAGACAAAAACATTACTTCCCGCTCAAGGTAGCAACCTAAGGCCAGGTCTGGGCTCCATGGATTTGTCTCTTTCAATTGTTTGGTTTCCAGTGTGACCTCTTGTGGTAGTTAAAGTCAGTTATCACCTTGTTGGGAGGGAGTTTCTAGATTGGGTTGACTGAGGTGGGAGGGCCTGCCTTGAATGCGGACAGCATCATCCCATGGGCCAGCATCCTAGATCGAGGAAGAGAGCTGAGCACCAGCCTTCACCTGTCTCTCTCTGCTTCCTGACTGGATGCACCGTGGCCATCCATGCCCCTGCTGCTGTGCCTTCCCACTATGGTGACCCGTAATCGAGAATCATGGCCCAAACACTCTGGTTCTTAGGTTGCTTTTGTCAGGTATCCCGTCATAGCACGGAAAAGCAGCTAATCGACCTTAGGAAGAAGGGGCGTGACAGAACATGCCCTCCCGTTAGGGACACTTCCTGAAAACTTCACCTACCACCTTCCATAGTCTGTCACTTGGTCATCTGGCCACATGGGAGGCTGGGTCTTTGTTCTGGGTCTTGTTGCCACAGAATATGAAAGGGGTGGGGTGGAGGGACATGAGCAGGGACAAGGATGAGGTGAGCTAGCAGGGGCTACGTGGATGGGATGGGGGTGCAGTCTAATGGAGTCATGGAAGAGCACATGGGTTGGTGGGCTGGATCTCCAAGGTACAGCCTCTTCAAATCAGAAGCTGTGCTGTGCGGGGACCTTGGTTCCCTCACCATAGAATCCAGACATTCTGGTTCCACTATCTTCCCTTTCTCCTCTCTGTTTCTGTATCTCCCCCCTTCTCCTCCTGCCTGTGCCTCCTCCTCCCCCTGCATAGCAGCCTAGAGACACTTCCAATAAACCTGCATTTATGTATATGTATATGTATATGTATATGTATATGTATATGTATATGTATATGTATATGTATAACTTCATCTTGCTGTTTAGGTCATTCTGGTATTCACCACCGAGAATGGAAGGCCTCAGCCAAGTGTTGCACGGCATGTACATAACTATGTGCATACTGGACATTACTTGGTGCCACAGAGGCGCTGAATGCAGATGAGTGGGGAAAGACCCACCAGGCAGGTGTCAACGGAATCAGTGCTGTATAACCAGACAACCACTGCAGACTGCGCCCCAGAGGTGAAGAGCTGTTCAGGTCAGCTAACAGAGCTGTGTCCTCAGCATCCAC